GGACCGGGACATGTCTGTTCACCGGCTGGACGGTACATGTCTGTTCACCAGCTGGACCAGGACATATCTGTTCACCAGTTGGACCAGGACATGTCTGTTCACCAGCTGGACCGGGACATGTCTGTTCACCGGCTGGACGGTTCATGTCTGTTCACCAGCTGGACCAGGACTTATCTGTTCACCAGTTGGACCAGGACAGGTCTGTTCACCAGCTGGACCTGGACATGCCTGTTCACCAGCTGGACCAGGACATGTTTGTTCACCAGCTGGTCCAGGACATGTCTGTTCACCAGTTGGACCAGGACATGTCTGTTTACCAGCTGGACCAGGACATGTCTGTTCACCAGCTGGACCAGGACCTGTCTGTTCACCAGTTGGACCAGGACATATCTGTAAACCAGTTTGACCAGGACATGTCTATTCACCAGCTGGACCAGAACATGTCTGTTTACCAGCTGGACCAGGAAATGTCTGTAGCCCAGCTGGACCCGGACATGGCTGTTCACCAGTTGGCCTAGGACATATCTGTAAACCAGCGGGACCAGGACATGTCTGTAGCCCAGCTGGTCCAGGACATGTCTGTTCACCAGCCTTACCAGGACATATCTGTAAACCAGCGGGACCAGGACATGTCTATTTACCAGCTGGACCAGGACACGTCTGTAAACCAGCGGGACCAGGACATGTCTGTAGCCCAACCGGACCAGGACATGTCTGTTCACCAGCAGGACCAGGACATGTCTGTTCACCAGCCTTACCAGGACGTATCTGTAAACCAGCGGGACCAGGACATGTCTCCAGCTGGACCGGGACATGTCTGTTCACCAGCTCGACCAGGACAGGTCTGTTCACCAGCTAGACCAGGACAAGTCTGTTCACCAGCTGGATTAGGACATGTCTTTTGCCCTGCTGGACTAGGACATGTCTGTAGCCCAGCTGGTCCCGGACATGTCTGTTTACCAGCTAGACCAGGACATGTCTGTTCACCAGCCTTACCAGGACATATCTGTTCACCAGCTGGACCAGGACATGGTTGTAGCCCAGCTGGTCCAGGACATGTCTGTTCACCTGCTAGATCAGGACAGGCGTGTTCACCAGCTAGACCAGGACAAGTCTGTTCACCAGTTGGACCAGGACATATCTGTAAACCAGTTTGACCAGGACATGTCTATTCACCAGCTTGACCAGGACATGTCTGTAGCCCAGCTTGACCAGGATATGTCTGTAGCCCAGCTAGACCAGGACATGTCTGTTCACCAGCTGGTCCAGGACATGTCGGTTCACCAGCTAGACCAGCCCAAGTCTGTTCACCAGCTGGACCAGAACATGTCTCTGTTCACCAGCTGGACCAGGACACGTCTGTTCACCAGCTGGACCAGGACCTGTCTGTTCACCAGTTGGACCAGGACATGTCTGTTCACCAGCCTTACCAGGACGTATCTGTAAACCAGCGGGACCAGGAGATGTCTATTCACCAGCTGGAGCAGGACACGTCTGTAAACCAGCGGGACCAGGACATGTCTATTCTCCAACTGGTCCAGGACATGTCTGTAGCCCAGCTGGGCCAGGACATGTCTGTTTACCAGCTAGACCAGGACAAGTCTGTTTACCAGCTGGACCAGGACATGTCTATAGCCCAGCTGGACCAGGACATGTCTGTTGCCCAGCTGGTCCAGGACATGTCTGGTCACCAGCTAGACCAGGACAAGTCTGTTTACCAGCTGGACCAGGACATGTCTGTACACCAGCTGGACCAGGACATGTCTGTTTACCACCTGGACCAGGACATATCTGTAAACCAGTTTGACCAGGACATGTCTATTCAGCAGCTGGACCAGAACATGTCTGTTTACCAGCTGGCCCAGGACATGTCTGTAGCCCAGCTGGGCCAGGACATGTCTGTTTACCAGCTAGACCAGGACATGTCTGTTCACCAGCCTTACCAGGACATATCTGTTCACCAGCTGGACCAGGACATATCTGTATACCAGTTGGACCAGGACAAGTCTATTCACCAGCTGGACTAGAACATGTCTGTTTACCAGCTGGACCAGGACATGTCTATTCGCCAGCTGGACCAGAACATGTTTGTTTACCAGCTGGACCAGGACATGTCTGTTAACCAGCTGGACCAGGACATGCCTGTAGCCAAGCTGGACCAGGACATGTCTGTTCACTAGCTGGACCAGGACATGTTTATTCACCAGCTGGACCGGGACATGTCTGGAGCCCAGCTGGTCCAGGACATGTCTGTAGCCCAGCTGGGCCAGGACATGTCTGTCCACCAGCCTTACCAGGACATATCTGTTCACCAGCTGGACCAGGACACGTCTGTAGCCCAGCTGGTCCAGGACATATCTGTTCACCAGCTAGACCAGGACAGGTCTGTTCACCAGTTGGACCAGGACATGTCTATTCACCAGTTGGACCAGGACATGTCTGTTCACCAGCAGGACCAGGACATGTCTGTTCACCAGCTAAACCAGGACAAGTCTGTTCACCAGCTGGACTAGGACATTTCTGTAGCCCAGCTGGTCCAGTACATGCCTGTTCACCAGCTAGACCAGGAGAAGCCTGTTCACCAGCTGGACCAGGACATGGTGGTAGCCCAGCTGGTCCAGGACATGTCTGGTCACCAGCTAGACCAGCACAAGTCTGTTCACCAGCTGGACCAGGATATGTCTGTTCACCAGCTGGACCAGGACACGTCTGTTCACCAGCTGGACCAGGACACGTCTGTTCACCAGCTGGACCAGGACAAGTCTGTTCACCAGTTGGACCAGGACATATCTGTAAACCAGTTTGACCAGGACATGTCTATTCAGCAGCTGGACCAGAACATGTCTGTTTACTAGCTGGACCAGGACATGTCTGTAACCCAGCTGGACCAGGACATGTCTGTAACCCAGCTGGACCAGGACATGTCTGTACACCAGCTGGACCAGGACATGTCTGTAGTCCAGCTGGTCCAGGACATGTCTGTTCTCCAGCTAGACCAGGAGAAGTCTGTTCATCAGCTGGACCAGGACATGTTTATTCACCAGCTGGACCGGGACATGTCTGGAGCCCAGCTGGTCCAGGACATGTCTGGTCACCAGCTAGACCAGCACAAGTCTGTTCACCAGCTGGCCCAGGACATGTCTGTAGCCCAGCTGGGCCAGGACATGTCTGTTCACCAGCTGGGCCAGGACATGTCTGTAGCCCAGCTGGTCCAGTACGTGTCTGTTCACCAGCTAGACCAGGACAGGGCTGTTCACCAGCTAGACCAGGACAAGTCTGTTTACCAGCTGGACCAGGACATGTCTGTAACCCAGCTGGACCAGGACATGTCTGTTTACCACCTGGACCAGGACATATCTGTAAACCAGTTTGACCAGGACATGTCTATTCAGCAGCTGGACCAGAACATGTCTGTTTACCAGCTGGACCAGGACATGTCTGTTCACCAGCTGGACCAGGACATGTCTATTCACCAGATGGACCGGGAATTGTCTGTTCACCAGCTGGACCGGGACATGTCTGTTCACCAGCTGGGCCAGGCCATGTCTGTTCACCAGCTGGACCAGGACATGTTTGTTCCCCAGCTGGACCTGACATGTTTGTTCACAAGCTGGGCCAGGACATGTCTGTTCACCAGCTGGACCAGAATATGTTTGTTCACCAGCTGGACCAGGTCATGTTTGTTCACCAGCTGGACCTGACATGTTTGTTTACCAGCTGGACCAGGACATGTCTATTCACCAGATGCACCGGGAATTGTCTGTTCACCAGCTGGACCGGGACATGTTTGTTCACCAGCTGGACCTGACATGTCTGTTCACCAGCTGGACCAGGACATGTCTGTTCACCAGCTGGACCAGGATATGTTTGTTCACCAGCTGGACCAGGACATGTTTGTTCACCAGCTGGACCTGACATGTTTGTTCACCAGCTGGACCAGGACATGTCTGTTCACCAGCTGGACTAGGACATGTCTGTTCACCACGTGTCTCAGTCGGCTAGAGCTACAGTTTTTCATTCTGTGGTCCAGGGTTCGAGACCCCGGCCAGTATTCATGAAACCGCTCTCATGCACACGCATGGTTTCTATGCTCAGACATAATTAATTTGTACTCAATTACATCATGTAACACTGCCAAAAAAGTTAAATTGAAACATTGAAATAGTCTTTTCCAAATTCCTAGAGATCATGGGAAAATGTGATTTGAGCAAAAATCTCAGTTTGAGCATGTGAATATGAGCCAATGTCTAGCCGGCTGAATTGTTTACTCCAGAAATTATATTGATTATATTTTCTTTATTTTACGTTCTTGACAGTGGTACGGAATCTGAAATCATATACATGTATCTTGCATAGTAAATAAAGATTGTGAAGAATTACAGTTTAGATTTTATGCACTATCATCATATTAGTTTACTATAACTAGTTTGAAAGTAAAGCTATAATCTTCAGATTTTGTTGTACATATATGACTGATAGTGTATTCTAGTCAATAGTTGTCTAGAGGGAGATTTTGTTTATGTATAACACCGTTTTATACATTTCGCGAATTTAAACTTGGGTATTGAAAGAATACCAAACAAGCGGTTGATTCAAGGTAGTTGATGTTACGTACCGAACAAACGTGTGCAAGTATCTAGTGGCTGTTCGTTAACCTGTCTCTCAAGCGTCTCTAATCGCGTGGTTAAATTCTTGATATTGTCCTCCATAGCTGATAGATTTTCTGAGTCCATGTGTCCCTCACTCCCACACGTGTCGCACGTACAGAGTTTCGGCAGTATGGATCTGAAAACATAATATGCGATACTCAGAGGTTATCAACAAAAATCACAAAACAACAGAATACATAAGTGGCAAAAAACGTATTTCGAGCTCAAAATCGATAAAGATAGGACAAATTATGACCAAAGCAAAGATTTACACGGGATCTTTTGAAACGATACAAGGAGTAAAAGACCAGGGCCCATATTCAGGAAACATACTGAAGCATGGATTTTGTGCTCAAACCAACTTTTTTGTGGCTCATTTAAATCATGTCAAATGATCAAAAAGCTCAAATGTAAACATTGAAAACAGTATTTGGCTTTAAGGCTCTTCAAATGTTTTCCAACTCATTGACAACATTTTTTTATTATTAATTTATAACAGGAACGAGATATCAGGCTTGAACACGAAGTCCATGCTTGAGCATGAGAACGGTTTCATAAATACGGTCCCGCGTGTTCCGCAAGAGTAAGTATGTTCTGCTATATCAACGACTACCGAAATGTAATCAAAGTCAGATGAAAGTACAATCGAGCACATTAATGAACATAATTAAAAAAGAATACCGTATTGAAGTAACACAAACATAAGTGATTTCACCTTCAATACCTCGTATTGAGCATTGTATCAAAGAGGGGTATTGTCCTTCTCAGACTCATCGGTGATGCTAGGGCAAAACAGTTCCAAATTGTCTAAACTACTGTTTTAATAGAGAGACATTTATTTAAAATGGTATTTCCACATAATTCATTAGTCATCACAAAAAACTGCTGTGAGTGCACCTGCAGAAAGATAATGAAAAATAATGCATGTCTCTTGATCAAATCAGTAATAATCCGTTGTTATACCCATTTTCATGATTTGTCTAAAACTGTTAATAGTTCAACAGTACAATAAATGGAGACTTTAAATTTCTGTCTATAAAACTGGTTATTTAATAGGAAATATTCACGTTTAAACCGCTGAAATTGATATCAGCTATTTAATGTGAATATTTCATATGAAATTATCGGTTTTAGTTACTGAACTTTTTTCATAAAAAAAAAATAATTATAATTTATGGCACGAAACGACTTTGTAATATTACCTGATGTTGGCTAATATCCGTTGTTCCATTTGAGCTGCTTCTAGAGAGGTCCGGTGGTTTGACAGAGGCTGCCCATCAGACAATCTATTACAGGAGATAGAGAGTACGAGAACAAATAGAAAACGAACCATTTCCCAAATCTACAGGTATATGTACGGCAGGCACAGTGTGGTGTGATAGACTAACTGTATCAAGATCACGGTTTCTATACACTCGAGTGTTATTTCCTGTATTCCCTTACGTTACTCGTGAATATTCAATAGTCCTATAGGCAACTCACTTATAAATAAAACAGGATAATGTGGAGACACGTCTAATGATGTAATCTACATTAGCGACTCAGCTAGTTAGTGTGAGAGTCATACAAAGAAGGATGTCTTGAGAACCACTGCCAGAAAGAAAGGAGAAAGATATAAAGTAGACATGAAATACAGGTGAAATATTCGGGGGCTGCACTTGGGTCAGCAGAGCAATTTAGGTCTCGTCCATGTCTTCTTCAAAGAAGACACGAAAGTGAACGGCCGATTTTGCCGGGGCCTCTAAATTCAAGTTTGTCTCCTTTTACAATACATATGCAGGGAGGGGACAGGGTGATATTAGTCATTTCAATAACCACAACCATGGTTGTGAGTTTGATATAGAATCACACCATGGCAAACCACGCAGAAGCGACAGCATATTTGTTTGTTTAGTATTCGGTAAAACGTCCTCGCAACAACCAAGAACTAACTATTCTTTACTAAACTGAACCTTTATATCTTAATAAGCACGTTTTATTTCATCGCCAAGATGATATGAAATGTGTTGACATTGTTTTCTCTAAATCCGCTACTTCATCTAGAACAATAAATTCCAAACGTCAAAGTGCAATATCCAACCGTTTTCTTTATCTATCATATTCAGTTAGGGACCAATATAACAATAACTATGCTTCTTGAATCAATAGATATTCCCCGAATATTATCTTGTTTGATGAATACTACGTACTGGAATAATACATGCATCAGATTATATAAAATTGTCAATGATAGCACAATATATCAGGCAAGTAGATAGCTGAACGTAATTAAGGGGAATACTGTATAAACAAAAAATCAGTGCAGTGGGACAGGGATCCTTAATATTGATGTACAAGTGATGTTTGTTTCTCCAGGCACTTTAATCAACGACGACGTACTAGAGATAAGGACACAGTTAAAGTTTCAACAGGATGAACGTTCGTGTCATTATCACGAACAAGGCAAGTGTCATTTGGACTATTCTGCAATGTCACATGGATAGGCTAATTGCCGTATTAATCCGTTGTTGTCGTTAAGGCCTGGTGTATACCGCGCGGAACATTTCGAGTTGGCTAACTGCCGTATTAGTCCGTTGTCGGCGACATTTTGGGATGGTGATACCCATGTGACTTAACATATAGACACATAAACCCTATGGTTTGTAGCGCAACACGAATTATTTCTCTATCATACATGTATGTATGTGCTTGAGTGTGTGTGTGTATACACTACGACTACTCCCCCCTCTCTCTCTTCCTTAAAATCCATGGGGTAACGCTTACTTACGTCACCCCGGAGCTCTGCAACCTAGTTGAAGATACAGTAGAATAGATTGATTCTGATGAGAGGGATTGCGTGGAAGCGTAACGGTAAAAGTGACCGCTTTGAAGTATGATGTCGCTTTCTGTAATATTCAAAAGAAGGTATCAGCCTAGCAATTGGTTGTTTTTTTTTGCTAAAAGCAATCAGATAGCTTACCATGTGCCTTCTATAGTGTCATGATATATTCTAGGGGTGCAGAAAACGTATCAGAAAAAGTAAGTGAGCTTTGATATTTTAGGATAGTCTCGCTTACATTATCTTAAGCATGGAATGTCAGTACAAAACTGAAGGACTCGCGGTTGGCGATTAGACTGGCTTCAGGTATAAACCTGCCCTTTGAAGATTACGAAGGTGCAACACCCGAACACAAAGCCGATATATTTTACCGTTACACTGCCGCACAATTATTTTGATGTACATAAAAGGATTAAACTTGTCCATATATATCATCCTCAAGCTGGCACATACAGAGCCTTCGACTTCGCACTGACATCTCCTAGGGGTACTAAGAACGTACGATCCCCTAGAATTTTAGGAACACTGTATGACTCAACGGTAGATATACATAATGCTTCATAAAAAAGTACTAAATAAACTGAAACGCTCACAAGTGGAAACTTTAAGCACGTGTCTAACTTGACGACACCATGGAGTATATTTTGTGTTGGCTTTCTTCTAATTAATGTCACACAATATTGTTTTTTTAAGAAATTGTTACAAATTCATTTGGTTGAATTGTCCTGTTTGCAATTTAATAGATATATCAAGCAGTTCTTATGTAAATATCTTTCAGAGAAATGCCCGTTAAAGACTGGCCTCATTAATAGGTAGCAAGACTGAAGATACAAATGTATTTCACCTGCCGATAAGGTTTCATATTGCATAAGTCCATTTTTGTATTGCAGGGCGAACTCTAACAGAGGTTTACGGTAATAGGATTGTGTCACCATTTCCCAGTAGAATTTCTTCATATTTTGTAGTTTTATTGCTTCGAAGTAAAGAAAAGTTTCTGCCACCAAAAATATAGATTGTCAGAATTTTAAGGATTTTAAATGGAAATTTAAGTAAAAAGGAGTAAATTTTGAAATATAAAATGAAAGACAGTTTTTGCAAAATAATGTCAAAAAAATGATACTGCCATAGATTAGTATTGTATTAATGTATATCAATTTAATACATGCTAAAAATTGTGTAAAATAAATTATCTATAAACGATTAAAATTTTTAAACATTTTATAATAAAACTATATACACATAGTTATTGCATGCGAGAGTTATTTTTCTTGGAAAAACTTCACGGTAGTGAAATAGGTAGCCGGTTTCCTGAAGTACAGAAAAATGGACACATGTGACTCATTGATAAAAAAAACTGAATTAATGCCTGGATTGCTTTGAAATACTTTAATATTGAGAAAACACACTGTTCTGTCAACAACAAACACACAATATTCATCAGTGTAAGATTAAACATTAGAATATGCGGATATTGTGATACTGTCCCCCCCCCCCCTACATTGGATTTTCAACTAGGGATGTACTTCCTATTTCCGTTTATCAATACACTCATTCGACCTTAAGCATATTTTGCTTTGGAGAAATCGCAAAGTCATATCATTCCGACTTGTTCAGGTAAATTGTGCATGTAGGTAATTTTTACAATCAATAATGCCTCCATATTATCAGTTTTAATATTAAGAAAAACCAGACAATAAAACGGTCGGTTGCGTTAATGAAGGTTAACTTTTTAAAGGATATGTTATACATTTTTATATTAAAATGATCGTTTTTGTATGCAAACGAAATAACGAAAAGTAAATCGCACTGTTATTTTGACATATAATGATGTTTCGTCAATGCTGATTCCAAAACAATGGTAAATTGGAAAAGACCATAACAGTTCACTATACTACAACGTCCCGAACCGGACTTGTACGAGCCTACTCTCGCATCAGATAACAGTCTTTGTACATGGTACAATGTAGTAGGCGGGTTGTAATTTTATGTTTAGGCTATGCAAAAATAAACTCAAACAAGTGCAAGCGATGCCACGCTGCATAAACTACAATCAAACACAGAGAGCAAATATTACTCATTTGAGAATTATGTTCAATACTGATGACTGAACAAGATATTCAACAAAAAGCAGGATGCCTTGCCTCAGCGATGTCGGGAAGTTGTACAGCATTAGGTGAAGTGCCCTTGGTTTTATGTCTGGGGCCTACATTGTGAGAACAAAATGCCATGCCGGCGACATGCCTTGGGATGATTGCAAAATTACATAACAAATGTAGCGGTTATTGAGTATGCACTGACAGCGGGCAAGCTATCACTAACATTTTGAAGATTTACTTCATATGCCTTCTGAATGTTAACATAACGTGAATAACATTATATTAGCATATTGCCTTACTCAAGAGTTTGAGGACATCAATATTGTGTGTACAAGTCAAAATAGGACGGAAACTTAGTCAAACATCAGATAAAGCAGTTTAATTATTCAATATGGAGAGGGTTTTGAAATGCACATGCTCAATTGGAATAAAAATGTACATGGCAATGAATGGATAGATATTACAAAGAGAAATATCGCTTTTATGATTAAGAGCACATCTCGATCAGTGTTATGAGTATGCTTCTCATCCCGCCTTGAGTAATATGAGAATGCCATAAGCAGCAAACATATTGGGGAAATGAAGCTGTTTTAAGTTTTTCATTAGTACCAACAATACTTCAAAGTTATACCTCAAACATTTTGGAATTTACAGACTTTTATCTTTTACCACTAGAAATTGAAAATTAAGATACTTAAATTGGTAGGAACACGAATCGGTTACATGGATATTGCATGAATACCGATAGAGCTATCCCTATGTCTAATCTTCTTAAATCATAATAGAGTGCGTCCTTTAAATAATCAAATGTATATACTTGATATGCGTAACAATACTGTCCAATATATTAATATTAAATTTTACACCAGAAGTCTAATACTGACGTTCATGACTGCTTGATTAAGAATGGATAAAGCGACGACTTAATTTACAATGCACAATGGGTGCATCTGTCAGCATAAGTATACGAAATACGTAGAGGCGCATGTATCAGGAAAAACGAACGCTGTTGAAAAATGGATCTCAGCGGAAATCTCAAAACAAATAATCACCGGAAACACAGATAAGTCTCTCTGGATCCGCCGCTGTGGCCAGTGTTCGACACAGGGTCCAGCCCCGGAAGTTGTTAACACTTCTGTTGATCATATTTGTTTATTTCATCATCGATTTTTTCAAAGTCCGGCAAGGTTTCGCTTTCTTTCCAGAAATGTTTTATGAAGCTATAGTCATGCCAAAAAACAGTTTCTAATGGATAGCTACGCTTTTGTGCAATGGTACGAGGATCGATAAACAGAAGCACAGAAGCCGGTATATTTCACGTGAAATCGTACCCATATTCAAAACAGATGTGACAGCAAACGAGATGTAGCTGAAGCGGACATCACCGGTTTAGATATGCGTTATACACAGGTTTAAAAATGTTAGCATTTATTTTTTTGATAAAATAGACATTCTTGGATGAATAAGTTCCGCATTACAACATTGCAATGTACAGTCCGTCCACGTCAATACATTTCTCCTGAGGTCTCGTCAAATTTCGCTGATCGGGACTTTGCCGGCGATCTCCTTAATTTTAAATATGGGAGCCCCGGGGCCACCCAATTCGTGGGTTCTTGGGATAGTTTTCTTGACCTCATCTGGCCTCCTCTTCATGTTTTCTTCTACGATCCCTTTTACCTTATAACATAGACACGTGTTGTGTTTATAAAAACATAAATGTATGAAACAAAGAACATTGCGAACTAAAACATATCAATGAAGATTATATATATAAAGTATTGAAAAACTGCATAAAGGCTCAAATGAAGTTAAACGAGACACTCAGCAATTTAGTTAACTAATACTATAACCCTAACTATATAATACGCTTTTGTAAAGTAGCACTATATACCCAGCAATCTCCAGTAAAATGTCACTAAATACAATATACTACTTGTGATAAGAAACGCAATATACCAGGTAATTTTAATCATGTAACGAATTATACCAGGTAATTTTAATCATGTAACAAAATAAACCAGGTTATTTTAATCATGTAACGCAATATACCAGGTAATTTTCATTATGTAACACAATATACCAGGTAATGTTCATTATGTAACACAATATACCAGGTAATGTTCATTGTGTAACACAATATACCAGGTAATTTCAATTTAAGCAACATACATACCCAGCAATTCCAAGTCAACTAACATGACATACCTACATGTAGCATTATCTCGTAAAGCAAATTGACCTGAATGGTATGCATAAATCTTACACAGCCTATCCACCACTTCCCAGTCACATACATATATACGTATATGGAATACACCAACCTTGAGATAAGTAACAGTATGTACCAAGCAATCTTTAGGAAAGCAATACTACATACCCAGCTTAGAAAAGCAACACACCATACCCAGCTATCAAAAAGAACAACTGCATTCAATATTTAGGAAAGTAACACTAAATAACCATCGATATTTAGGTAAGTAACTCTACATACCCATCAATATTTAGGTAAGTACTGTTACATACCCATACATATTTAGGAAAGTAACATTAAATAACCATCGATATTTAGGTAAGTAACACTACATACCCATCAATATTTAGGTAAGTACCACTACATACCCATCAATATTTAGGTAAGTACTGTTACATACCCATACATATTTAGGAAAGTAACATTAAATAACCATCGATATTTAGGTAAGTAACACTACATACCCATCACTATTTAGGTAAGTACCACTACATGCCCATCAATATTTAGGTAAGTTACAATACATACCCATCAATATTTGGGAAAGTAATACTACATACCCATCGGTATTTAGGTAAGTAACACTACCTACCCATCAATATTTAGGTAATTACTGCTACATACCCATACATATTTAGGTAAGTTACACTACATACCCATACATATTTAGGAGAGTAACATTAAATAACCATCGATATTTAGGGAAGGAACACTACATGCCCATCAATATTTAGGTAAGTAATACCCATCAATATTTAGGTAAGTAACACTACATACCCATCAATATTTAAGTAAAAACAACTACATACCCATCAATGTTTAAGTAAATACATGTACCACTACATACCCATAAATATTTAGGTAAGTACCACTACATACCCATCAATATTTAGAAAAGTAACACTACGTACCCATCAATATTTAGGTAAGTACTGCTACATACCCATACATATTTAGGAAAGTAACACTAAATAACCATCGATATTTAGGTAAGTAACACTACATACCCATCAATATTTAGAAAAGTAACACTACGTACCCATCAATATTTAGGTAAGTTACAATACATACCCATCAATATTTGGGAAAGTAATACTACATACCCATCGGTATTTAGGTAAGTACCACTACATACTCATCAATATTTAGGTAAGTACCACTACATACCCATCAATATTTAGAAAAGTAACACTACGTACCCATCAATATTTAGGTAAGTTATAATACATACCCATCAATAATTAGAAAAGTACCACTACATAACTATACATATTTAGGTAAGTTACACTACATACCCATCAATATTTAGAAAAGTAACACTACGTACCCATCAATATTTCGAAAAGTAACACTACATACATGTACCCAGCAATCTTTAGTAAAGTAATGCTACACAGCCACTGACCGGAGAAGTAACACTACATAACTATACATATTTAGGTAAGTACCACTCCATACTCATCAATATTTAGGTAAGTTACACTACATACCCATCAATGTTTAAGTAAATACCACTACATACCCAACAATCTCCATTACAGTTACACTACATACCCATCAATGTTTAAGTAAATACCACTACATACCCATCAATATTTAGGTAAGTACCACTACATACCCATCAATATTTAGGAAATTCATACTACATACCCATCAATATTTCGAAAAGTAACACTACGTACCCATCAATATTTAGGTAAGTTACAATACATACCCATCAATATTTGGGAAAGTAATACTACATACCCATCGGTATTTAGGTAAGTACCACTACATACTCATGAATATTTAGGTAAGTAACACTACATACCCAGCAATATTTAGGTAAGTACCACTACATACCCGTCAATATTTAGGTACGTACCACTACATACCCATCAATATTTAGGAAATTAATACTACATACCCATCAATATTTCGAAAAGTAACACTACGTACCCATCAATATTTAGGTAAGTACCACTACATACCCATCAATATTTAGGTACGTACCACTACATACCCATCAATATTTAGGAAAGTAATGCTACACACCCACTGACCGGAGAAGTAACACTACATACCCAGCAATCTTTAGTAGAGTAACGCTACACACCCACTGACCGGAGAAGTAACACTACATACATGTACCCAGCAATCTTTAGTAAAGTAATGCTACACAGCCACTGACCGGAGAAGTAACACTACATACCCAGCAATCTTTAGTAAAGTAATGCTACACACCCACTGACCGGAGAAGTAACACTATATACCCAGCAATCTTTAGTAAAGTAATGCTACACAGCCACTGACCGGAGAAGTAACACTACATACCCAGCAATCTTTAGTAAAGTAACACTACATACCCAGCGACCAGAAATGTGTCTCTTCATACCCTTCCAATATATATGAAAGTAACTCTACCTCCTAAAAACGACATTGTATACCTACAATTATTAGTATATAACACAGTGATGTATATATATCCGAAAACGTAACACTGAATAACAAACATAGTCCAGCTGAATAACGCTAAGTCAACACTGATTCCTGGTAAACAACATTTCAATAGCACCTTTTGTGAACAGGAACGGCAGTGAGGTAAGAAAACGATATACATACCCACATATACATATGTCCAGCTGCAGGACAGTTGGTGGTGATTTTCTCAAGGTCAAGCCTCGATATCAGTTTGTTGGCACCAAGTGTGATATCCATGTCCAGCTTGAGAATGTTGAAAGTGTTGATTCTGTTTCTCAGTGATTGCGTCTCTTTCCTCGATAGGATTTCAATCGCATTCGTCCAAATCTATATATGAACAATTGGAAGCATGAAATATATTAGAAACACGTGTTTCATTTTGATTGTTATACAAAGAAAGGGTTATGTTTAAACCTTTAAGGATACATACTTCCCTACCTTTGACATGTGTATTCTTTCCAGAAGAATTTCACAAGCAATACAGACATATGCGATAGTACGTATACGTTTCATATTATTGAGTTAATTGTTTGATTACCAATGTTGAAGTAAGCAAAAACACAAGCATGCCCGAGTAAATCCTCCCCACTGGAAAGAGACTGGAAATTTTCCCTCCGATTATGTGTCATCCGTCAACTTCATGGCAATGATTATAAACCCTATATAAGTGCGTCTGTGTGACCAGTACGTTGCGTGTGGTTTTTTTTGTACTGCTTTGCTATGGGACAGAATTTCAAATAACGTCTTCACAGTACCGTACTACTTTAAACCATATATAGCAGCAAAGAAATGCGGGGTGGAATGCTGCTTTACTAGTACGCTAGTTTTCCAGCGACGTGATATAACCCTATGACTCGAACCATCGCGATAGTTAACATCGCGATAGTTAACATCGCGAGTCGTCAATAGCTGGATGGGTGCCAACTCGCACATTATCACACACAACATCAATAATAATACCCATCTCAGACCGTATAAACACAGATCTGGAACACTCGGGTGACCAATAATAGTTAAGTAACGTGTTCAAGGGAACAACACCATGTGCTCGAAGCAACAACAAGAGAGTCACAAAATATATACATGCCAGCTGTTAGCCAAACATACGATCTATATTACGATACAGCTTAATTTGAGAAAAAAAATCAAGCTATACAGTATTGAACTTATGGAGGTATCAAACTTGGGGACACTTCACTGTTTTATATTATATCATTCAAACTGTAAGTTATCCTATATTTTGCAAAAATGAAAGTGTTGGCTTTTAATGTCTGAGTAGTGTCAATGACGTCATATATGTATGTGTGTTTACCGTGGTTATTTCTTCATAGTCTCCAAGCAACAGTAGCATAGCCTTGATGACCTCATGCACTTCGTCTAACACCGGGTTACTACAAATTTCGGTAATGGTCGAGTTTGGAATGGCCAGCACGTCATGTTTCTGAACGTGTAGGTTTGTAAAGCGTGTAATAAGATCACGTGCGATGTTCATTTCACGCTGCATCGGTTCCTCGTACTCTTTTATGTTGACAAGATCCACTGCACGATCTAATGCTGCAAGGTGAAGGTCATCTATTGCTGCCTGAAGCTCTGTTAAAAGAAATTATAACTGTAGTTTTTTCAATAGAAAAGCACATTTTACTTACTTAGTTTTTTATTCCATAATGTAGGAACCCCAGTTTCATGGTAGTATTGATTTGGCTCGACAAGAGGTATATCAGTTTATGTTGATCAGATGGAAGGATGAGAAGTGTAAGTGGCTCCCCGTGAGGTTTTTGCAAGATTTCAATATATGAAGTTATTAAGTGTGTAGATGTAAGTAGTTATGCTTCATAATTAAAAGATTCTGCACCTTTCCAACGAAATTAAATAGAATATGTAAGTGCAGGTGCGAACAAATCAAAACCGTTTTCTATATAAGCAGCTTTTATCTATTATGTAATATAAATTAATGACATCTGTTTCCAACATTAACTAGTCCAATATCCATGCAAAGAATCTACATGGTATGGTAAAAAAAAGTATTTATGAAGATAGTATTTAGCCTTCATAATATTGATAATGTCCGATTAATCCTATTCAATTGATCATTTATCAAAATAACAAGAAAACAAGATTAAAGGGCCGAAAACACCATCGATTAGCGAATTCCATCTTCAACTAATACATCCTAAAACCGTATGAATTAATACTGGTCAAAAAGCACAAAAAAATATATTAATTAATCCCTTGGCATTGGTACATTGTACGAAAGCCTTTTAAGCTCTTTTTCGTTATAGCGCGAATGATTTTGTTTTACGAAAATGAGCTCAACAGGATTTTGTACCTTTGCGTTGTCTCTACTTTTGAGTATAACGTTATGATAACAGTCAAAAATGTAATCCGAATTATATTTGGAATACTGCAATAAACACCCCTTACATTATCTATACTTGCACATGCATTTCCTAACCAGTATGCTATATCTACAGCAAGGTCGTTTTCCTGTACTCACGTGATTTCACATTTGCGATGTCCTCCGCTAAGTTGACGCTGGCGGCATCGACGCCGACAATGAGATTGTTACAAATGTTGATCTGCTCGCCCTCTTCTGTTAGTATGTAGACAACCAGCGCCGCCTCGTCGCCCTGGGGAGGACGCACCTCTACAAATAAACATTCTTTGGATGTATTCCTTTGTATAATAAAAATAATAATTCGAGGTTCTTATATACCACTTTATCATAACCTAGTTCGTTGGTCGTCTCAGAGAGGTTCACAAATTATTATCCGTGGTTATAAGGCCTTTGCAATAAGCCAATATTTTTCTCAACTCCCTCGGGAGCATACAACCGGTGTTGCCAGTTTGGCGCTCACATCTAGCATTCCACAATTTTAGCACTGCCCAACTACGTACTCATTGACAGCTGAGTAGACATGAACAAGCAGAGTACAGTGTCTTGTTGAAAGATACAACACAGTGCGTGAATTGACTCGAACCCGCAGCCCTTCGGTCACGAGCCCGGCGTGCGTCCTACCACTAGACTACCGTGCCTCCAAATACTAATTCTAAAATATCGTTGTACAGGCTTCGTACACTCTTATTCCGTGTATACGCTCAGTGTCCCTGTAAACGTTCAGTGTCCCTGTTAACGCTCAGTGCCCCTGTAAACGTTCAGTGTCCCTGTAAACGTTCAGTGTCCCTGTAAACGCTCAGTGCCCCTGTAAACGTTCAGTGTCCCTGTAAACGTATAGTGTCCCTGTAAACGTTCAGTGTCCCTGTAAACGTTCAGTATCCCTGTAAACGCTCAGTGCCCCTGTAAACGTTCAGTGTCCCTGTAAACGTTCAGTGTCCCTGTAAACGTTCAGTGTCCCTGTAAACGTTCAGTGCCCCTGTAAACGCTCAGTGTCCCTGTAAACGCTCAGTGTCCCTGTAAACGCTCAGTGTATCTTTCATTTCAATCAGGTCTTTAGTGTATAAATAAGTTGTGTTACCGGTTTTTCTCAAATGTAGACATACATTTTTACAATGTAATAGAAAGCCTATTGTCCAGTTTACTATAATTAACCTGTGTAACTGGTGAAGTATTTAAAAAAAAAAAAAAAAACAGCCAAGAAATACAAGGAGTAGTAAAATAAATTAATATATGAAGTTTCTCAAATTCTCTTTATTGAAGGTATTTAAAAAAATCCACTTACAATTTTACTTATGGAGTAGGTTCACCTTTATATCACGATGCTTCATAACAAAATTCAGTAGATATATTATTGTATCTTACCAATGATATATTGGTCCTCTTCCTCAGTCACTCCCGTTTTCTCCAGGGGAAGGGCATCTAGGCTCTTGTTTACGTCCGTCAGGCGGTACCGGAGGTCCAAACCTGCAAATAAAAAAAAAAAAATTTTTTTTATTAAAAATATACAAAACAAACATTTGAGAATTCTTGTCTTTTAATAAACATTTTTCTGTGTTTCAGTTAATAAATATCGAGAATGCAAAGATGTCTCTATATGATCAAGAATTACATAATAGAGAATTGATATTTATGAAACTTTTCTTGTTACACAACAAATACGTGTTTCTATGTGACGTTTCGATTACTAGTATCGCCAAAATACAATAGTTGTTAGTTATGTACCGAAATGACTCGATTCATCTACGCTTTATTTAAATCGTACTAGTCACCGAAACGTCACATAGAAACACTTATTGGTTGTGTAACAAGAAACTTTTCATAACACATACTTACCAACCCGAAGAAAATGTTAAGAACAGATAATTGATACTCTTTGTAACAAACATAATTCAAAAAAAGAAAAATACGTATCAATCAATTATACTGATAACTGTAACATTTATTGATAAGAATATGAATTAGAATAGGAATAAACAAGATTTTTCGTAATAAAGGTGAGCATGTATTTACAAACACCGTTATTAGTATCCTGTGAGTATCCTGTGGTAAACATTTAAATGAGGGCTTGGGGCTCTCTGAGAATTAATTCGAATACAATTGCAAAATAATGCTCTTCATTTAGGCATTGAACTGTTTTTGGATGGTATTTATGATCTATTTGAATGACACAGCTTTGCAAGCAAACAACATCATGCGTGCTAGCGCATTATGATTTGTTTACTTGCAAAGCTGTGTCATTCAAATAGATCATAAATACCATACAAAAACAGTTCAATACTTATATTTACGTTTTCTCTGCCTCTTATTTTCTTTTTTAACTTATAATTTATATTTGAAATTAAAAATGCCCGCCTTATCGACAGTCCACACAATTTCGTTCAATAGTTTGAACAGCGTATTGTCGCGTGCTGATTGGCAAACAAAGTAGTACTTTGAAATTTTAACAAACACTTCAATTTTCTTCCACAATTCAGTATCAATACAATTGCGTATGATATGTCTATAGGGTGATTTAAGTTTATCAATAGAACTCTGAGCTGAAAGCAAGATTTGAAATTGTTTCAATTTTTCCCCGGAACAAATTTCGCGCATGGACAAATACAGTGAACACCGTAAATCCGACCTTGCCCTCCACGAGGGAGTTATTTTTGGAAGTTAATTCGAACTTCTCTCTTTGCTCATTTTGTGAAGAATCTAGGCGTGAATGTATTTGTTGATTGTATGGGAACCTGACAACAGTCGGTAGATTCTAGAATAGCCTCGTTATTTGACATGTCGTCAGAAACTGAGGAACCGTAGGTGCGAGATGCGTTAAACAGATAGACGTAACGTCAGATGTTGACGCACAACAGTGTAACACACTTTTAACGTCATTTCGTTTCAGGTTTGACGTTTGTGGCACATGGCCGGCTTTGTAAAACATGTGCTTTCAGAGCTAACGGAATGAAAATAAACATATGTAAAGACTATTTATTTGACATTCATATGGTCACGGTTTGTATATGACAAGTGTAACCAATTTTGACAATGATCGAGTTGAACGTGAAGATAACGGTTAAGAAGTGAAAGAAAAATGTGATAAAATAACGCTACCCGTATAAGTACCATCTGCTTCCTAATATCAACGATGATATTTCTAAATTATAAAGCACATATTAATTAAGTACATAGAATAACATGCATATATTAAAATAATCCGTATTTTTTTTATTTCATTGAAGTCCGAGAATGAAAGCGCGCTCAGGTTATAAGTTACATTGTATAATGACGTGATGTCATTTGTCATTTAGTCATACATTGACATTGGTGTTGTTACCCCCAGAGTTATCACACTGTTCATGCATTCCAATAAATAAATTTGAAAAATCACATAAAAGATTAAATTTCGCTCATTACATTTTCCACACAGGCTAAAATGTTTAAATGTTCTCCTCCTTCAACTGTAATTTGTAATTGTGCAACCTGATGTCCGCAAAAACGTACCACAATGGTGACTTTACCCCCATCTGCGATATTCCAGGGGTTAGGCTCACTTACGCTCTCTGTGACCCTGGAATTTGTCATGACAAAATTGAAGGCTTAGTGTGCGTCACCTTGTAGATGAGACGAGAAGACTAGTTTGATACTTTGATGTACATTAAAAGAATTGCTCGGTCGCGTAACGGTAAACTTGACTGGCTTTGTAGTTGGGTGTCGCATCTCTGTACTCCATTTTGTACATTGTAATGTATCTGAGGAAACCAAAAAAACATGAAATTTGTAATCTACAAATGCCCAGGTATCGGCCTAGGGATTGGTCAGATTTTTTTCTCTACCTGAGACCGATCAAATTGCTAGCCGCGTTTCTTCAATTTTGCTTTGACATATTCCAGGGGTACAGAGAGCGTAAGTGAACGTAACCCCTGGAGTATCGAGGATGCTTTGTCCTCGCCAGGTCAAAATATAGGCCTTCTACCACCTCCCACCAGCTCTTGAAAGAGTTTCCCAGTCATTTTCAATACGTCCATCAGCTAGTAATCACTAAGCTATGATGTGCTAGTGTTCTTGTTTTGTTTAGGACAGGATATTAGCAATAGGCGGTAGGATTGATATTTGTGACAAGGGAGTTGGATTGGTCTATGTGGCTGGCAGGTGACAATAGCTGTGCAGGATTGATCTACTGTATGTTGCAGGAATATGACAAACGTCGATGGGGTTGATATCATTGTGACAGGAGTGTGACAATAGTCGTAGGGATTGATATCATTGTGACAGGAGGGTGACAATAGTCGATGGGGTTGATATTATTGTGACAGGAGAGTGACAAATGTCGGTTGGATTGAAATCATAGTGAAAGGAGGTGACACTATTCGATTATATATTGTGTGTGTGTGTGGGGGTTGTTACGCTTCCCGATTATCACTAGTTGTACCAAATTCTGATCCACTTATGACTTTCAATGTTTGGAAATAATTTACAGATATTTTCAACAATTAAAACACCAACGCGTCTTCATGTGTTCACATTATAAAACATAGCGCATGTTTATTAGTATCTACCGACATTCTTGCTGCGCCCATGTAGAACAAGCATCCAACTACCAGCATCCGCATCAAAGTATTACGTCACAAAAAGGAAATGACGTCATTGTGACCTCATACGGGATACTTTTACTCTAAAATTCCTGCTTTTTTAACCTATGGAAAATGTTTCTTTATGTCGAATGGACCTGTTTTTTTTCTGTAAATCAAAGTTGTAGAAAATTTGTTTTTGTTATGTTTAGAAATATGCAAAAAAAAAGACGTGTCTTACAGGGTCAACTTCTTATATGGCACACCTTAAGATGATGTGGAAAACCATTTCAACGGTTCAACCATTTCCTTACAATTTTATATTAAAAAGTACACGCGGTTTCGTCATCTTTTGCTTCGTATTTATAAGGTATCCCTCCCTGCGAATTCCTTAAAAGTGATTGACGTAACGTCATCATTCACTACGTAGTGATTTTTTTCTTACAAATATGTGCAAATACAATCAATTCCCCACATGTTATTATTAAAGCCATCGACATCAAATTATCCTCAATGTTGTGGGATGTTTTCAAATTTAAAGTAACGAGATTATACATATTTTTTCTCTCCATTAAGAAAATATCACCTTTTCCCGCTAAAACCAGTTATTTCGTTCACTCTGATTATGCAAAAATTATGAAAAACTAAATCGTTAAATAAATGCCACATCCTTCAAACACAATATGTCGGAAATTTGAAAACGGATAATTAGAAAATTTACATAAAATGAAACCCTGAGATATTATTAATACGTATGCATGTTTTGGCTGTTATTGTGTGTAAAAAACAACCGTAAGACATTCACTAGAAACGTTAAATTTTGTTCATTAACAAAACAAGAAAATGACGTTCGAATTTACGTTTTTGACACAAAACAACGTAGCGTTACATGACGGCTAGACATGGGGAAATCAATGCTGTGCAGCGGTGTTAGGACACACGATATAGTTAAGTTATGCTTCAAAACTGAGTCAGAGAACTTTCAAATGCATGTTTTTTCATTAAAACAAACAGATGTGTCATTTCATTCGAAAGTCACAAATATGGTATTTTTTCTTAAAAAGTCGCATTTTACGGACCGTTACATAACGGCTTTTAAATGTTCATTTATTTAAACGCGTAACCCGTTTACGTTACACATTACATTGGAGTAATGGCGAATTTTGACGTTATATCGGTGATTATGCCGTTGCGCTCGAAACTTTTATATATTTTAATGAAATATTCAGGTGGATAAAAAAATCTGAATAAGATGGTATATAATAACATATATATTTGATCCTTATTCAGATTTTATATAGCGTTGATGTAGCGAAATCCGCGATTTTTCGTATGTTCGTCAACATCTGAGTTACGTCATAGCGTTTGAAGTGAGTGATCTTCCGACGAACCACAGGTTCGTTACAAATGTCTGAAATGTTTATGTGTGCTGTGACTCATATCAGTAGGTCTGTAACATACTGTATGTGTCAGTAGGTCTATAGAATATGTGAATCTCAGACATTTATAACGAACCCCTGTTTATCAGTGCAGTGTAACAGACGATATTTCTGATAAATTGCATGAGCGTTAAAATCGTTTCCATTGCCGGCATTGGTGATTTCAACCGATGTGCATTTTGTACGATATTGCAGGCCTTGGTCTTGTTTTCGTTGTAAAAAAAAAAAAATGCACCTAAATTTACAATGACATTGTAAAATCTCACAATGACCAGCGATATTTCAGCAGCCGTCATGTTTATTTATATTGGATATTGTAGTTCCGGCCAGTGTTGTATTGATACGCTAAGAATTGTGTCTGATGCATGATAATTAAAGTCCCATCAACGACACAGCTTTCAAAGAGGCTATATAGTGGCAATGCCATGGAAATGTAAATATATACCATTAAGTACAAAAGAACATAAAAAACACCTCTTTTTTTCTATTACCTTTAGCCGAGTCTTCCTCAATGCCGAACGCTATCAGAGTCATGTCTCCCTCCGCAAGGATAACGGCATGAGGATGTGACAGCGCCGCTAATCCATTCTCCTCAATCCGGGGATTGTTCCCCCAACCAGAGTCTCCTACTTTCGGGAACGCCTGGTACTTCTTCGGGAATCCATTAACTCGGATCTTATAAACTGCTACCCAATCAAAATCGTAACCATCTTCTTCGATGGTTCGGTCTTTCCCGACTATTTCCAATTTGTATGTACCTTTTCGCGGAAATCGAATTCGAATAGCAACGGAATTGTCATTCGGGTTGTAAATCATGTCGTGTTGGAATCGACTGTCTTCCTGAAGGTGCCAATCATTAAAGTCAGCTCTGAAGATGAGACAGTTTAATTGGATATCCATTTTCTTGTGCTCAGGTATTCCGAAGGTCAGTTCTATGTCCCCCGAGTCTGTTTGTAGCTCACATAAAGAATGCGTCAGCAGTCTCATGCCCAGCTCGAAGAATCTCTCTTTAACGAAAGCTTTCCTTTCGAATCCATGAATACTTACTGGTCTATCCACAAGCTGCCAACTGGGTTCTTCTGGAAAATGAGAGTTCACTAGCTGCTCCGGATCAGGAAGGAAGTAGGTTTCATCAACCTTGAATGTTCTGTCTACATTTTCACTAACTTCCGTTCCCACTGCGCATGCGGCCCAGTACGGGTTAATGAGACGCCATGTGTTGTCAATGAGAACCGCGTTCCACTCTCCGTATAAGGCAGCCTTATTTTTCTCCACAGACTGACCTATTTGGTACGTACTTCCTTTCAGGTAACCATGGATACAGATGCATGGTATGTTGATGATTCTGACAGAAAAAAAGACATATGATGCATTTTCATTCAACATCATACACTAAAAACATCAACCAGTCAAGCATCGACCGAAAAACTCCCAATCACAGGAATTTCACTTCTCAAATTTATGAGTAATATATAGGAATACATATTGATGATGGTCTTTTTTTAGAATGTCTGCTGACGATATGTAAGGATTTGGAATAGAAAAGGATATTCGATGGGCAATGGTTTAAAACATCATTTTGAGATCGATTTTATCTGAACAAATATTTGAGTGGCTAACAATTAATTACTAAATATTACGGTCCAATATTTCTGATCAAATATTTAAGCTAATCAAAATGAACCCGAAAGAAAGTTTTAAAAAAAGATGATATTTAAAGCTTCATTTAAAAAATCTCTTTTTATCGATGAATCTGTTCGTTTCGATCTTGATTTGAGACTTTTTGACAAACTTGTCATGTTTGTGAACTGTCTTGAGTTTGTTGCATTCAATATGACATAACCGGTTTAACCAGATAGTTTGCTTTATGACAAGAGACGAACCAAGCTGTCTTTTATAATATTATCAGGTAAGCATTAACAAACACTTACAATACAAATATGATTTAACGTGTTATGGACTTTACCTCTAAAATATTATATCGAATCAATCGTTTAGCAGCACAATATCTTCAAAATCTCAAAGAAAATGCTGCTCACGCGAAACGAGAGTTTTCTTTTAAACCTTTTTTCTTCAGTTTGGTAAGTATGGTTGCGAAAAGTTTCAAGAAGCACAACTAAAAAGCGTTTATACGTAACGTTTCGATGACTAGTTCGGTATGAACTCTGCCACCTTCATCAGACAATTGACCAGTGAAGCGTATGTACACAAATGTGTAAAATATGAACGAGTTGTCCACAAGTGTGCTGTGTAATACATCAGGTCTTATAATCGCCAATCCTACTGAGGGTTTACGTAAAGTAAACACCCGTATTTACGTTTATTACGTCACGAAGTACAAATCAATCCATCATCTTTAGAGAGATTATACCACAATAAGGTACAACCTTACAAATATATTTCACTCAATTTCATACTCTACCTGCAAAGAAAGCTGAACATCTGAGCATAGTTGTTTTTCTTGACTTTGAGACGTGTAAGATAATAGACGACTGAATTCTCTTTCGGTGGCTGCATGGGGACAACCATTTTATCCATGTTCTGGGCGCACAACCACGTGAACAAAACACGAACTTTCCCAACATCATCCTTGCAAGGTTTGATAAGATACTTGACGAGCTTGATTAGAGTTCCCTTCTTCTTTTCATTGGGAACCTACAAATCAAAAAAGAAGTTCCGTTTCAGTTAAAAAGGTGGATTACTTGTAATCTTTATTAATCCATTAGTTTTCTAACAAGTGTCAATCAGAAGTTAAAATTACAAATACCTTGCCAAACATTGCGGTATACGACGTCATCACTTTCTGTGTTATCTGTTTTTAGATTATACGATATAACTGGAAAAAGTCTACCGTTTGGAAAAAAGTCAAAATTAACTTATAACCTCATACACTTGTAACCTGACCAAAATAGAAAATTATTCCTTATATATTGGCATACAATGTCAATGTATGTAATGGATACTAGTAGTGTATTACAGCCGTCTATAGTACAGTAGTCATGTAAAGAATGGTTCATACTTTACAGTACATACTTTCAACTGTGCTTTTTACATGTATAAATTAAACAAATTAAAACGAAATTAGAATATATGTAAGTTGATACTTTACCTTCATCGCTCGTTTATCAAGATGCTCATATTCCTCTTCATTGAAAATCTCCGATTTACTGGTGGGAGGTACATGGGGAGGGGGAAAGAACTCTAGGGGACTGGGGTCCACCACGTACAGACTATGGGTCTCCACGAATATACTGTTTCTATTGAACTGGTATGTCCCGTATTGTATCACGGGGTCGGCTATTGTTTTTGACTGAAAAACAAAAGAAACAAAAAGAAGATTTTTGTTTAAATTCGACATAGTGTTCATGGTTGTAGTTGTAAGTCTAAAACAGAATAAAAATATGTTTATAAGTCTGAAATAGGATAAATCTCTACATGCTCATCAACCAAGCTGAAGAAATGTGAGGTTACTGTTCAAGGGGAGGTAACTCAAGTTAGTATGTAAAATATACGATGCATTGTTACATTATCATTGTGAGATATGGCATGGTAGGAAGACGGTTACTGTTACTATGCTGTTTTCATTTAAATCGAAATGTATATTTGTACAAATAAATCTTGTCTGCAGGTATATTGTAAAGATTACACACGTAGGCAATTTTAAGCATAATCAGCTTTCGGTGAAATACCTCTAGTATCAACCGGAAGTAGAAAAACCTTCCGGAAGTGAATGATATACCTGCTGTATCTCAATGTTTTTGCGAAATAGACAATAACTAAGGGGACCCAAGCAGATCCATCTATTTTGCCTATAAAGGGGGATATTGAAGATACGAAACAATGATATTCAATGTACTACCCCAATGCAAAACTTAGGACCCCTGTGTTTCTTTGATCTCTTTCCTATTCATTCTTTTTGACGTTGTCTCTCTTTACAGCTAGGCAGTCTACATCTTACAACCTTGACTGGATCACATACTCTGAACACACACTCTGTAAAGGATTCTCAGTTCCTAGTGGATGTGCTCTGTAGGAGCGAGTTCTTGTTTCTTTGTCAGTGGCGATAACAATACAATCAGATATAATGAGATCTGTAGACAAAGTTATATGATATACGATTTTTATATTACATTTTTTTTCAAGCGAGATGACAAATCTAGGCATGCTATACAGCATATAGAGGAGCGATAAGGGGAAAGTGAAGAAAATTTAAAAACTTACAGAGGTGTGGCGTCAGGTAAGTCATGCAAGCATATCAGGTAAAACATATATTTAAAAAACATAATTATGTGTATGATACAAAAAAGTGGAAAAGCATAGTCAGCTTGTAAAGTTATTGCGCTTAACTGTCATTGATAGTAGGATAGCTTGGTTTGGGTTATTTTGTGTATCACCATATTAACGGCAAATGCCACTAAAGAGTTAACTAGATACACGTACATTTTCTGTATACTAATTATGACCTACAAGGTAACCTTCGCTTGTAAAATCTCATCCTAAGAGACTAGTATTCTCATGCAAGTGACAAGCAATGAAATACTGTTCTCGCTTCCCTTTACATTTTAAAATACACTACGCTTTTGGGTACTAACCATACTTTGCACGGCCCCGTGTTCAGCTGTTGTAAAACTATATAATTCTGAGGTGCAGAACATAATAGTTGAAAGCATTACTAGCTTAACAAAAAAAATCTAAATCTAAATTTTGAGAAATATATGTATCGGGAGGTTAACAAATATATAGTGTGGGCTATGTACCTGTAGTATTGTTGATCTGTAATGATATTTTTTCAGTATACAAGTTTTGAATACAATGCTCAAGTCCTACAGGCTCGGGGATAGTATCCCACCGGACGTGATCTAAGAGGCGACTAATGTGGAACTCCTACAGACTCGTGATGTTTATTCCATGTCTTCATGTAAGTGACATTGAAAACAAATTCAGCTATTGATCTTTTGCTGCCGTTGCAACAGTTGTGATCTAAAAAAACTATTTTCTTACGCCTTTATTCTCACTTGTAACACGTTTTTAATTCACTTAAGATAATAATAATGTACAACTCCAAGGTAAACATATTAACATTCGACCAAGTATGTTTAAAATGATAAAATTATTGAATGTAAATAGCTCAAAAGACCCAGTCAATTTGACAAAATATGTATAAGCGGCAAATGTAAGAAGAACCCAATTAACTTAATTGGTCACACTCTCCGTGTTGTCTGTAGAGTGCTGGTATTGTATTGTATTGTATCGTATTGTATTGTATGTAAATATTGTAAAGATCTCATTTTTGAATCCGATTGTTCGAAAGACTCAAGGTTATAAAAAACTTGACCTTGAACTTAACCATTTATGACCTTCAACACACTTTGTTCAATAAAAAGTCACATTTTAATTGATAGATCATTTTGAATCTCAATAGTTGAGTTTCATTTTTAATTTCATTGGTTTAGACATATACAACATGAATAGTTTGCGTTAAACTATGGTTAAGCTAACCGTGCTTTGAAAAATAGAAGCCAGGGCTCGGGTGTTCATGTTGATGACATTTTCTTTACAAACTAAAATTAGATTAGCATTCAAATCGATTAGCCTCCTAGATACTGTCGGATCTGACAATGATATTGAGACTGTTACATACCCTGTAATCAATGATACACTTGTTGTAGGAGCGTATAGCCTAAACTCACGCAGGCTATACGTCTATTCCTTAGTGAATCGTTTGTTTACAGTTTACTTAAGTCATTTATTATTAGCTTAAAAGTCATGAAGCGAAAAACGCACCTTCTTTTCAGTCTGACACTAGTGCTTGAAGTTTTATTAGCTTACAGTATAACAAGCTATTTTCAAAAAACATCTAACAACAACCGCGAGCTCCGTGTAAGTGATTGTCGTAATTACGTAAAGGGATTGGAGACATATTCGTAAAAGAAATAAATTCGTTCAACAGTATTTTTTGTACCAGGCTATTGAATATTTCAGTCATGAAGACTCTACTCTGCTTCCTTAAGGATCATTATACAATTTATATTAAATTTATGCATTCTTTATCACTAGCACAATATATGTATACAAGTATACGATTTCTGAACTTGCACGTATTTTTTTTTGAGTCAATATACTTTTAGCTTGTAAGTACATTGCTACATTGCCTTTCTTATACAACTCTAAAATAAAGTGTTTATGATCACTAAAAATGATAAAACGATACATTATTGACCAAAGATCATATGTGAAATGTACCCTAAAAATCAAAACAATGTACATCTAACTTCACATAATGACGTCATTTTTCTGTATTTTTTTTATTTATTTTTACTAAAAACCTACTTACTGTTATGTCGTGTTATTTGTATTTCTCAAGCGTAGCTGAATCGAGTCATTTCGGTACATATATAACAACGATTGTACATACGTTTCCAGCGTAGCCGAAATCGACATCGATTTTGTAGACAACTCGTACGCTTCACTGGTCATTTGTCTGATGAAGGTGACAGTGTACATATCGTTGTAGTCATCGAAACGTCACATAGAAAATCTTATTGGTTGTGTAAAAAGAACTTTTCATAATCGTTTATTTGTGTTTTTATGTTTCACATGTACATGTTTATCATTCATATATTTGTTATAAAGTATCGTCAGAGATGCTAGTTTGTGTGGGTTTTTTTAATATGTTCTCCGAGATTCGATAAAAAGATTTGTTGAACGGGTGTCTATGACTGATGATACATTACGCGGAAAGTTGAAGTATATCAAATTACTTTTTGTATAATAACTGATATGTATGTTGTTATTAATTTCCTTTAGATACCACCAGAGGAGAAACACGCAAACATATGTCTTAAATAATTTAAAAAAATTAAAAATGGAAATTTGATTTCACTTTATCATAGTCATGACCTGGAAACTAGTAGTCATGTTTTTAATGAAAATAAGCATCTGGTACAACTATATATGTTGAAGTTAATAAATACTAGATCAAAGCCCATATCCCTAACATAATACTGTATTTCAGATTTCCCTAAGTATTTACGTATGTAGTACCTAAGTTTAAGTATATTTACGGTACCACCTAGTAAACACTTAGGAAAATTAGAAAACCTAAGTAAAATAACACACTACTTGCGTATTTCTAAACATTTGCTAACGGTTGGTAAGTATGGATTATGAACAAATCTTTGTACACAACCAATAAGAGTTCATATGACTAGTACGGTATGTACACTGTCACCTTAATCACACAAATAACCAGTGAAGCGTATGCACACAAAGGTGTAAAATGAGAACGAGTTGTCCACAAATCGATGTCGATTCGGCTACGCTGTAAGCGTATGTACAATAGTTGCGTTAATACTTACTTCTGTGTGAATATTTTGTTCAAAATACTACCATAAAATATCCCAAGGTATAATTTTGATATTAAGTACAATATAGCTATTCTATATTGCTACGTTTCTTTGTTTAAAGCCGCCCTATTGTCTACAACTGGGCACTGGTCAGCCTGACACTTTACCTTTGGGTCGTCCTTTTTTGTCCGGAGATTGACCCGCACACTCTGGCCACACCCCATGACACAAGCTTTATCCCAACGCTCTCACGGTAACAGGCGTATAAACACTTTCGTTACGTCATAGCTCCCAAAATACTGCGCAATACAAAATCATCCTTCTTACTGCGTATATGTTAAATAATGGACGCTATAACCTCAACATGGTAAACTATATTTCAGATTGATATAAACCTGCCTGAATGGCAATGTATGATCTTAAAATCAAACCGTGTTCCATAATTAGACCGTCATCGCATGTATTAGGTACTTAAGGGGGTAAGGTGTATACATTGTATATTATTTAAACAGTATAGTGATTCAAAGTGCACATTTTTCTTATTTTTATTTACCTTTAACTTTATATTTGTGTTATTTCAATAAAAAAGTTAACAGTGTCAATATTTTGTGATTATTAATATTGTAAGTAACTGTAAGTAAATATTGCAGTCCGTAAAATAAGGGTAAGTCGTGTAACCTATACCGGGCCCAATATTATCAGAACCATCTTATTTCCGGTCGTGACTTCCATTGTTTTTAAATTGTTTGAGTCACGGAGTAGAACGTTCTCGGGGCCACTATGCACGGTTACAGTACCCCGGGTATTAAATGTCTATTTAACATTATATACACAGGTCACTGGTCACGTAAGCCATACCCACGTATTGTCTTCCAGCCAACACAAAATGCGTAAGGACGTTAACACTACTATACTAAAACATGTGTTTTAGGGTGCTGCTTTTTAGGTTAGAGGTGGTAATTGATCATCGGAAAGTAGTCCTGTGAAGGGAGATTGTGGACACCTTTTCAGTAAGAAGTTTGATCAACACTCTAGAATATTATATATTTACATAATGTTACATGAAGTACCTTTAAAAACTCACATGCTGCAAATATATAATTACATGCACATGTGTATACACTTAAGTGTGTATAATGTCCAACATAAATATGGCTGCTACACCCATGGATATAGTGCTGTTGTTGAACCTTCACATGTTTCACCCTGCGTAATCATAGTTAATTCATCAAGGCGGCGAATATCAGTAGACGGCTTAGTATACAAAACTTTACAAAATATAAGTATTTACAAAAAATATGAAACAAGTTTTACAACGAAGATTAAACACTCTTGTTGTTCCGGATGTTAGCACGGGGGGTTCCTACTTTGGGACGAAATAAAAGTCCCCAGAGAAAACTAACGTAGTCGGGAAGGTGACCCCATACCATTTCACGTCCGATTATCGGGGATACGAACCCCGGCCGTTTAAGTGAAAGGCTAGTGCGCTATCCACTGCGACACCCGACCTCCCTGAAATTAAATGATTGAATTAGGACCGGACCAATACCATCTTGATGACGAATACGACTAAGACTAGTATGACTTAATACACAAATCGTGAAAGCTGTTTATCACTTATTTTCAACGCATATTCATCTTCAAATTATAAAAATGACACTGGGTAATCCCCGTATCCTGTTACTGAACTGACGAGAAGACAATTCAAACAGCAACATTTAGGCAATTCTTACATTTCCATCATCAATAACACAATGAATGTATAATGAAAATAAAAGCATTGAATAGTTTTCAAACAGGTTCAATAAGATCAATATTGAATATGAAGCCTTAGTGGACTTTTCGCAATATCGATGTGACTGCCTCCAGCACACTCCTTAACTGACCTTACCTATGTAGCTGTTAGTAGGACGACTACCGATCATACAGATAGTACCCGTTAACATCTAGGTGTAACCCCAGACTGTTAACATGTTCTACTTTCGGATAGTTTTAATTTTTAATAGCATTTAACTGTTCTTTTCAAGTTCATTAATATTCGTTGACGTTAGGTCACAAATGTTATGTGCTTTGCATTCTTTGTGCTAAAATGTACTTAAGTCGTAGGCAAGTTTTGTATTATATACGTCACATTACGTATAAATCTACATACTGATACTTCGATGAGAAAGAGGATGCAGGGATTATGTTATGTTCCGATGAAACGCAACCTTATCAAGCAAAGCAAATCATCCTTCCGGTCCCTTCACACATAAGATACACACATTAAAGCTGGATCGGAAACTTGCTGTTCATATTGGAGAGTGATATTCCGGCAAAACAAAAATATGGCAACATGATAAGTATTACGTTGCATACAATGTTATAATGGTGTCTTTGTTTAAATCCGATCACCACATCTCGGATGTATCCGGTGATAATGCTATATAACGATAGGGGAGCCCCAGAAACGGCGCCCAGTTGAGGAACGTAAGAAGGTTTCGTTTGAAGTCAAAGCCAGATTGCGAAGATGAGTGCTCCTGGTGCTATAGGACCGCAGGTATGTCGTAAAGCTTAGTAATCCTCACGTATTTGTTTAAATAAATTATTTCTAGCAGTCACATTCTTTTAAAAAAGGTGATTTTAAGTAACAACATACCAATATTCTAATGGAAGTCGGTTTTGGTCTTATTTTAATATTATTTTGCAAATTTTTATCATCAGGAAGCAAATGGGAACGCAAAATAAGTGTGAGCAAAGGAGGGGTAACACCTTTACTAAGAGCTCGGGCATTTTTACAATCGCCCGCACAAAATGATATATATATTTCTCTTCTGTTCCAATTCATTCCTTACTTTTTACGATACATGGACAGATTATTCCAAAACAGAAACCCCAATTTATGATGAAATAGCCCTAGACTTAAACAATTTGGTTTTATTTTGTTTAACGGCCAATTAACAGCTTAAGGTCTTTTAAGCACAAGACTTAAACAAATCGAGCGTATTGGTTTTGAAACATTAAGTTTTGGCACCCTTCTTGTATTATATCGATGTACATGTTTTTTCTCATGCGTCGCTATCCCGAACATAATTAGTTGGCTTCGATTGACTTTTGCGCAACATAGCAAGGTAAACATATTGCGCTCACGAAGGTAGTTTTAATCTGGTTAATGGTTCAAATATTTAATACAAGTGTTTTGTACAACCAAAGTAAAATACGATATTCTATCAATGTTTTATCTCCATTATTTGGTAGTAAACGGGTAAACTGACTTTTCTATTGTGTTTGAATAAATAAATATATTCACGGATATTAGAATGATGGTATTAATATTCGCTAAGTATTTTATTTGTGCTACCTTTGGTGACCTCAAATACAGCGAGATCGAACCCCTCGAGAGTCTGACCAGCTATATAGTACTATGTATATGTCGACAGTGTACCAGTATTATTGAACAATAAACGCAATACATGAATTATGAAGTACGTATTCATGATTCAAGATTTATATTGTTGATATAATGCATTCAGAACATTGAAGCATCTATGCACACAACTACATGTACATGCATATTGATAATGTGTTTTTTCTTCGATAAACATTGATATAAACATCATATCTATTTGGTGGTGACTAATGTCTGTAAATGCAATCTCTCAACAACATGCAGTATTCAACAGATTTAGTGTTATCAAAATTAATTGGTTCATATGTGTAGAACTTACAATAGTTGCTGTGCATTATCTGAACAGTTTTGATTTGTATGACAGAGAGTCACAGCGCTCCAACTTAGATTTCATAGACATTTTTCTGAATATTATGTTGCTGTCCAAGTTACTATAGTAAACATTTTATATACAGAATGGATGTATTTATCATAATGTCATAATGCACAAAACCTACCTGGTCGCCAAGGAGATCCGCTCACCACTGTTCGTGATTATACAGCAGGAAGCATAGCAAATACGTTACCGGTCATGCTATTTGGTATGTTAAATATTTCTAAAACTTTACTGAAAATACTTTCAACATGTTTCAACCCCCTTTAAACGTCCACAACGCGTTATTGTCGTTTTACAGTTATAGACGAAATACCATAAATTCAGCAGAAACTAATTTTCAAAGTCTGGATGCAATAGAAATATAGCCGCACTGTCTACCTTATTAGTATTTGTATTCACGTCATGTTACATGTCTACCTGGTTCTTTGTAGACCACTGTTGACACTAAGCCGGATTGCAAATGTGCGCTGAAGATCTATTACATACCAACCTGCAACTTGGACTATTTCAAACAAACGTGACCTATTGTTGTCGCTTTACGGGTTGACAGGAAATACACTGTGCCATAAATTAAATAGAAAGGCGGGTCTCTCTATCTCGGTAGTATTAGTATTTAAATTATTTACCTGATTCTTTGCAGATTACTGTTTATGCTCAGCCAAACTATAAAGGTGCGCTGAAGACATGTTATGGACCTGAATATAACCTAGCGTTTACTGGATTCGACAATAGAATAGCCTCCCTTGAAGTCACACGTGGAGTGTAAGTATATTCTACATTATGATGTTAAAACATCATTTTTCTTGTAGATATGAGGAATACTAGGATTTTGCCTGTTCAAATCATATTGAACAAACGCCAAATCCTAACCTAAGACAAATATATTATATTAAATAAAACTTCGTCATGCCGCCACCATTTGTTCAGAGAGATTTTGGCGTTATAAAGGGGTTTTGCGATAAATTGTAGAAGAGGTATAAAGAGATTCTTAACAGAAAATGAGAAAAAGACCTTCAAATATCTTCGAGTTAAGCAAAGTGGCAAATTGAACAAGAAACATTATATCGAGATTTTATTGTTTCGACTCGATTTTGTTTACACTGGCGACATCATTTAGGATACTACAATATTGTTATATGTTTGGTACATAGAGTCTTCCCTATCCGTCCTTTTTGACACAGACAGTATTTATTTAGTTTTTGTAAACACATTTTTCTCTATAGCATCAAACAACACAATAGATAGGTTTAACACATGAATTCCCTCACATGGCTAATTATTGTCTTTTCCTTTACCCTTTCACCTTATTTCGTTACTCCACAAATACGATTTAAAAGCTATTCAAATAAGGGGCAGAAAAGGGGGAAAAAACGTGTTATCCATAAGCTAGACGGTCATTTATTCGTTCTTTGTTAGAATGTTCTCGGTAAACTTTTGATAGCTGGCTTCATTAACTTTTTGAACCGTTGGGTATCGAATTGTTTCAGATGTAGATCACAACATTGGTAATTTCCTCTCTTTGTTTGACAAGTAGAGATGAGTGATTTTGAAAAAATGCAAAATTCTCTTTTTATATATATTTATTTATATATTCATAATATCAAACTATGGATCTCATTCTGAATATTTTTGGAATACTCAAAACTCCCTTCACCCATTCAGTATCCATACAGTGTAAAATAACAAAGATTATTTAGGGACATAACTCTAATAACGATTATAGCAATGTATACTACTAGTGTGTTGGATAGCTTAAGGATTTATATGCGACATACATGGATTACTTTAAAGTTACAATGACGCTTATCTTCGTTTTTTTCTGATCAGTAGAAGACAACTGGCGTTTCTTACTTTTCGTCCATAGTCAAAAGTTATATGTTAGTGTATGAAACGTGTTAAAGATATAAAACAAAAAGGAATTAAATAAAAAAAAATCGTGTCGCAAAGAGTAGAGAATTCGATGATTTACGTAATGTCAATGCATATCCAAATGGACCCACTTACAATGACGATATTGCATGTCAAATTTCTTCTTCTGCTATTACGATCATATGTTTATATTATACTATTTCATACGTGAATTATGAAGTCGTTCACAATACCAAGTGACGTAACAAATTTATATCGGTTCAGATGAAAGCAGGTTCATTGTTTAAGTTGAACACGTAAACATTACCTCTGACCCAGTCGAACACATAGTCGTCATTCGCTGGATTCCGCTCTCGTGACATCTCGTGAATTCGCTTATGCATAATAACGTAAACATTGCCTTCAACTCTGCGCCTGGTGCGATAAGTAGTAAGTAGTCTGAAAAAAGGCTTTGCAAGTTTATGATGGGCATAGATATCCGTTATTGGAATTTTAAATATTTTTATACAAATACACTTGTAATAGGTATGAAATGTTATGCCTTAAAAGCTTAACAGCGTTTTGTCCGACAGATTGTGGTATGGTAACTTTAAAAATGACACGTATAATTTATAAGGTAGCGTATACCGTTTAGCCTCAAGAAAAAGGCATTTAATGTCACCCAGGAAACGTTGACGCTCACATAACTTATGCGTATATGATACAGGAAATCTACATCATATTCACGACTTTCTATTGATATTATATACAGGTGGATACTCTACGAAGAGGATCATTTTGGTGGCAACATTTATGTTGTTTGGGAGGGACAGAAGATCAATAATCTACCAATGAGATCCACATCCTCACTCAAACCAATCGAAGTTGTAAGTATCTAAATAAAGGGAACAATAAGAATTTAACCAAATCAATACATTCGATGTCTTTCTGAACGTTACAAATTGAAAGCTTCGTTAGTCGTTACTTCGTGTTTTCAAGATAAACTTGTTATTTATTTTTCTACTTGTTTTTTCGGTTTTTAATTTTACAATTTATTAATCAATTTTTGAAGCTGAGTATTGTCATATGTCTTGGCAATATAAATTATGTTTTTCTTGAATCATCACCTGAAACTATGTAATTACCGATTGTAAATATTCAAGAATTTAATCGTATGTTATTTGCTCTATTTGAAGAATAGAGTACACTATAAGTGGGTACTGTATTGCCGAGAAATTTTAGTTCTCTAAAGTTTCCACTCTTGGCTGGTAAATCGTCGCCCTTCGCTGTCAATTGTAATTTGTTTTCATGATGGAGGGCAGTTTTGTGCACGCACAAGTTTAGCTGAAACTAGAATGGAAAAAATGTTGAACTAAATTTCAACATTGAAATTACTATGCAAATGAATTCTATATTTAAGCCAGTATACATTATATAGTATGAAATGTCTTCCATTGAAGCATTTCCCAGAAGACCACTCTATAACCCTCCACAACGGGCCGTCTTTTACCGGAGCCAATAAAACCTTCACAAGCGAGAATCCTAACCTCATAGGTTCTGGTTTTCAGGACAGTGTAATCTCTGTGGTTGTCGATTCTGGAGCGTAAGTATGCCATTTTACTGTTTACATGTGGCGACAGGGAAGATAATCTTAAAATCAACATGGCGTAAAATTGTTTTCAAATCTTGCCATACCCGATTCTTCCACTGGCCTGGCAAATCTACACAGAGCTATAGTACTTTTAATACACACGTACATCACATATCCAGCTAAAGGTCAAAGGTTAACATTACAGTATGACCTCAAATTCAACCCAGTCGTATAGTTTTTAAACGAAATGCTTGGAACGAACCGATTGGTCCTGATCCGATATGGTTTAAAGTACATGCTTTTTTACATCATTTTCTGACAAGCAATTTACACTTATATCGATAAATATTAATAAATATGTGCGTTTTATATGAATAATAGTGATGGAAATAGGCAATTTCACTTCCAATCGATTTCATATTTTGAATTGAAACATGTTTGTATCTCCTTTTGAGTATATTTCTATATGGTTTTATTTTTCCAACAGGGTAATTATATACATTAAATGATACAATATATTGTAAAAAGTTTAGTTTCTTACTAAAATAACGCTATTTATTCTAATCCATATTTGTTCTTCGTTGTAGTTGGGTGTGTTACGAACACATCAACTACGGTGGACATCAGTACCTCTTTACAAGGGGAGCATATAACGGATCGTCTTCCGAGGGCCACTTTGAAAACAACAAGATGTCATCCTTGAAACCGATTGTATTCTAGCAACAACTGAATAACAGCCGGTTTTAAAGAGAGAATATTTCAAAACATTAATAAGAAATCATGTAATATTAATATGTATTACAACTAAAGGTAGTTCAAATATAAACCATCTTTCGCTGGATCTAAGTTTGCACATGTCTAAATATATCACAATTATTTTAAAAGCCAAATTTTCTTCATCACAGAGCGGTAATGTCACACTTGGTTTCATGTTTAAGTTGTTTAAGTAAAGAATCAGTACTGTACGAGCATTTAGATTGTATTAGCGCTCAACGCCTTCATAAAACAAATATATCATTAGACCCGGATGTGATGCACTGCTCATATTTAAAGTAGTCAGTTGATAGTTATTAGACAATTTTATAACATTTGCCATGTTTTTTAATGATGGAGGTAGAGTACCCTTAAAATAAGGAAACATGGCACAGCATGATAAGAATGAATCGGATATTTCGATGAACACCTGTCATGTACTTCGGAGTAAAAAAAACCCCACTAATTGCCACGTTTACATCCATATAATCATTACCGCTTGTCAAGAAGATAGCTTTGATAAACACTTATAAAAAGGGTGACAGCTCATAGTTAATTCAAGAAATGTTCAGGGATCCAGCGGGGAAAATAAGAAAAAGACATTAAAATTCCAAAACAATTACACGTCAGGATTAATTGGTGACTTTAGATATTACATTTGTATATCCAAATTTACATATGTACTTTAATTGAGTAGACAAATAACTACATGTACCTTTCAAATATTATCAATTGAAAATTAGGTAACAACAGTTTTTGTTTCCGTTTTCAACTCAAGTTTCTTTTTAAACTTGTATAGATTTTCTGTATTCTCTACTCTGTAATGTCTTAACTGAAAGCATGGAATAAAGTTTTCTCATCAAGTGCGATGTTTTGTTATTTCTCAGGAAATACACTTTTATCTCATTATTGGTAGGTTCACTTCTCCATTTAACACAAACACCTGTTCTCAAATGACTTGTAAACATACAGATAATTAAAAGTGACATAGCAATGCAAATAAATTGATGGTTTTACTTTTCCCAACATTTATCAATCTATAATATTTATATATCAGAATACATCATCGCCATATCTGTAAAACAAATAGTTCTTGTTTTCCATCTCTCTTTAGGTGTTAACCTACAATCAGATATCAGTTTTGTTATCAATTATGATATAATTGTTTATAATACTTTAATTAATATCACATTTATGTAGAACTAAGCTCAGGCCCTCAAGTAAAGGAGAAGTAAAAGAAAGTCCCCAGACTACATAAAGCCAAACCAAGGTTCTTACTCAAGCACTTCGATTTCGTCAGGGCTGTCGGTTTTAATCTTATGATGCATATACATGTAGAATCGACCTTGACCGAACACTCCAGCCTTGCAGACCGTAACATCCCGATATCTAACTACACAGTAACATTTCATGAGGCGATGTTCAAAAATATTTTTCTTTCTGTTATTTTTAAGGCATTTAATAATTGTGAAAAATTACTTATCACGTTTTATACACCTTCGACACTAAACTGTTACGTTTTTAGAGACTGAAATGTTCGGTCAAGCGATATGTTTGGCATGCTAGCGTTTACCTGTGTACACTTCAGTTGTAAAAGCATTAGAAAAAGTGTTAACATACTTTACACTTGTATGGCACCAATATGGGTATGTGAGATATTTGGACAGACAGGTGTAATCGCCATACATGTGCACGTATAAATTCTACAAGTTACTTCCTCTTATTTGAACATTGTGAGATGGGTACATAGTGTTTTTGAGGTCAATGTGATATAATAAATAAAACACATACTTGTATTCTTTGTAGACCAGACATTACTAAATAAATATATGATAACTCAGTTCTATCGGTCAGCATATTTCCGCTACAAACAAGTGATAACATTGCAGAAGTTTTCCATTTGTTTACATTCAATAACAATGAAATAAACAACTATAGGGAATACGGATTTATATTAAGCCAATAGATATAGCTAACAGTTCCATGCCCCGTCACAGGCAGTAGTCTGTCAAATATACTAAACTTTTTAAGTACGAGTTGCTCCCCTTACACTACATTTACTAAACAAAAGGTACATCGACCGATATATTTATACAATTATAAACGAATGCACACAGTTAACAGATAGAAGAAAAGAATGTTCCCCTACCTCTAAGGTTTACAAGAAAATCTCCTACCCGAGAGGTAACGTTTTGCTTGTCTACCACAAGACTTTGACGGAGAAAATGACTCTGGTGTTTACCCAGATAAAAAAACTTTTGAGTGGAATTTCCCTATCCTACACACATGGGCATGAAAAAGTTTATTTTTTTTCATTACAATAATCAGAATAAGCTGATATTGAAATAAATATGTCGCAATTTCCGCATCACTGCATCAAAGTGTTCCTTTTTCGTAAAGTCACGTCACTGTTTCTTATGTTGATATCACAAACTTGAAATCGGGTGTAAATAGATAGATCGTACACGTCCTTCTTACCCTGGGCAATTCTGACATCAACTATAACAGGAATAAGACAAATCAAAATGACCAACCTGCGCATTGAAGAGTTCAATGTTACACCATCAAGGAACGGGATGGATATGTTTAGAACTAGAAAAATAGAGTAAGTTGTTTCATCTTAATTCGAAAACATCACGGATAGGTACATACAGGGCATGAACTATATGTTAGAAATGCTGTTTAGAAATTCTTTTTAAAATAATGTCTTCACCATAATTAAACTAACTTTAAATACAAATACATTTGCATAATTGTTTCATTTGTTTTGTACACATGTACACATGTATCATTTAAATAACAGTTTACCCTGTAGAGTGAGTATCTAACGGAGATCTGGTGTAAAGTGTGAATGTATAATGACTGCAACAGGGTGTGGGTAGGCGAGACAACAGGGTGTGGGTAGGCGAGACAACAGAATATAGGTAGACGATACAACATAGTATAGGTAGGCACGACAACAGAGTATAGGTAGGCGAAACAACAGAGTATAGGTAGACGAGACAACAGAATATAGGTAGGCGAGACAACAGAATATAGGTAGGCGAGACAACAGAGCATAGGTAGGCGCGACAACAGAGTATAAGTAGACGAGACAACAGAGTATAGGTAGGCGCGACAACAGAGTATATGTAGGCGAGACAACAGAGTATAGGTAGACGAGACAGGACGAGACAACAGAGTATAGGAACAGAGCATAGGTAGGCGCGACAACAGAGTATAGGTAGGCGAGACAACAGAGTAAAGGTAGGCGAGACAACAGAGTATAGGTAGACGAGACAACAGAATATAGGTAGGCGAGACAACAGAATATAGGTAGGCGCGACAACAGAGTATAGGTGGACGAGACAACAGAGTATAGGTAGGCGCGACAACAGAGTATAGGTGGACGAGACAACAGAGTATAGGTAGGCGCGACAACAGAGTATAGGGAGGCTAGACAACAGAGTATAGGTAGGCGCGACACCAGAGTATAGGTAGGCTAGACAACAGAGTATAGGTAGGCGAGACAACAACAGAGTATAGGTAGGCGAGACAACAGAGGATAGGTAGACGAGACAACAGAATATAGGTAGGCGAGACAACAGAGTATAGGTGGACGAGACAACAGAGTATAGGTAGGCGCGACAACAGAGTATAGGTAGACGAGACAACAGAGTATAGGTAGGCGAGACAACAACAGAGTATAGGTAGGCGAGACAACAGAGTATAGGTAGGCTAGACAACAGAGTAAAGGTAGGCGCGACACCAGAGTATAGGTAGGCTAGACAACAGAGTATAGGTAGGCGCGACACCAGAGTATAGGTAGGCTAGACAACAGAGTATAGGTAGGCTAGACAACAGAGTATAGGTAGGCTAGACAACAGAGTATAGGTAGGCTAGACAACAGAGTATAGGTAGGCGAGACAACAGAGTACAGGTAGACGAGACAACAGAGTATAGGTAGACGAGACTACAGAGTATAGGTAGACGAGACAACAGAGTACAGGTAGACGAGACTACAGAGTATAGGTAGACGAGACCACAGAGTATAGGTAGACTAGACAACAGGTATAGGTAGACTAGACAACAGGTATAGGTAGACTAGACAACAGAGTATAGGTTTACGAGACAACAGAGTATAGGTAGACTAGACAACGGAGTATAGGTAGACTAGATAACAGAGTATAGGTTTACGAGACAACAGAGTATAGGTAGACTAGACAACGGAGTATAGGTAGACGAGACCACAGAGTATAGGTAGACTAGACATCAGAGTATAGGTAGACTAGACAACGGAGTATAGGTAGACTAGACAACAGAGTATAGGTTTACGAGACAACAGAGTATAGGTAGACTAGACAACGGAGTATAGGTAGACGAGACCACAGAGTATAGGTAGACTAGACATCAGAGTATAGGTAGACTAGACAACGGAGTATAGGTAGACTAGACAACAGAGTATAGGTTTACGAGACAACAGAGTATAGGTAGACTAGACAACGGAGCATAGGTAGACGAGACTACAGAGTATAGGTAGGCGCGACAACAGAGTACAGGTAGACGAGACTACAGAGTATAGGTAGACGAGACAACGGAGCATAGGTAGACGAGACTACAGAGTATAGGTAGACGAGACTACAGAGTATAGGTAGGCGCGACAACAGAGTAAAGGTAGGCGAGACAACAGAGTACAGGTAGACGAGACTACAGAGTATAGGTAGACGAGACTACAGAGTAAAGGTAGGCGCGACAACAGAGTACAGGTAGACGAGACTACAGAGTAAAGGTAGGCGCGACAACAGAGTACAGGTAGACGAGACTACAGAGTACAGGTAGACGAGACAACAGGTATAGGTAGACTAGACAACAGGTATAGGTAGACTAGACAACAGAGGATAGGTTTACGAGACAACAGAGTATAGGTAGACTAGACAACGGAGTATAGGTAGACGAGACCACAGAGTATAGGTAGGCTAGACATCAGAGTATAGGTAGACTAGACAACGGAGTATAGGTAGACGAGACCACAGAGTATAGGTAGACTAGACATCAGAGTATAGGTAGAATAGACAACGGAGTATAGGTAGACTAGACAACAGAGTATAGTTTTACGAGACAACAGAGTATAGGTAGACTAGACAACGGAGTATAGGTAGACTAGATAACAGAGTATAGGTTTACGAGACAACAGAGTATAGGTAGACTAGACAACGGAGTATAGGTAGACTAGACAACAGAGTATAGTTTTACGAGACAACAGAGTATAGGTAGACTAGACAACGGAGTATAGGTAGACGAGACCACAGAGTATAGGTAGACTAGACATCAGAGTATAGGTAGAATAGACAACGGAGTATAGGTAGACTAGACAACAGAGTATAGGTTTACGAGACAAGAGAGTATAGGTAGACTAGACAACGGAGCATAGGTAGTCGAGACTACAGAGTATAGGTAGGCGCGACAACAGAGTATAGGTAGGCGAGACAACAGAGAAAAGGTAGGCGAGACAACAGAGCACAGGTAGACGAGACTACAGAGTATAGGTAGGCGCGACAACAGAGTATAGGTAGGCGAGACAACAGAGTACAGGTAGACGAGACAACAGAGTATAGGTAGGCGCGACAACAGAGCACAGGTAGACGAGACTACAGAGTATAGGTAGGCGCGACAACAGAGTATAGGTAGGCGAGACAACAGAGTATAGGTAGGCGCGACAACAGAGTAAAGGTAGGCGAGACAACAGAGTACAGGTAGACGAGACTACAGAGTATAGGTAGACCAGACTACAGAGTATAGGTAGACGAGACAACAGAGTATAGGTAGACGAGACCACAGAGTTTAGGTAGACGAGACTACAGAGTACAGGTAGATGAGACTAAGGAAGATGACACTCATAATCTCCAAAAATTTGAGATAATAAATGCTGAAAGATGCTAAATAAACCAGAAAATGAGGGAAATCAGCTTGTCTTGTGCAAGAACTGTAAGGCTTTGATCGGGAATTGGAACCAATGTACTCAAGTCTGATGCTGGTGAATGTCAGATCGTGTAAGAGAAAAGCATATATATATAAATTAAATAAGGACTTAATAACAGGCAATATAGAAATCACGCAGACAAAGGCAAACTTCTATAAAGCACTGTCTAGAATTATTGAATTTTCTTTCTCCGTGTAATATTCATATTACCTATGAATGGCAACTGAATCGCAGTCAAATGAAAAGTGACTTAAACTATCATAATGAATGTGGTTCAACTACACTGCAATTGTTTACTTGGTTGGCATATCTTGACAGCCATACATGCCTCATTCAACCTTTCCCCCTATATAAGTTGCATGTTATTTATTCTAAATGAACGTAGGAAGTAATGCCATTGGTTGAAATATATTATAAAAACCTGAGTTGTTTCCCTATGATTCAGCCATTTATAATGTAATTTTGTCTTCGTAAAAAAGTAAGCAAATTAAATCATTACTTTTCTTATGCCTATAATTTATCTAGATGTTTAATACTTTACTACAAAAAAGACTTTCGTATCATTTTTTTCATAATCTAGGATTACCATCAGGGAAATACAGAATTCCATATTATATCGAACGGTGAAATACATTTGATATTCGATGAATTTTTTTTCCTGGGATGCACGATCTATTCTGGGAAGTTTAAATTTCTTTCGAAATATTTTATTTTATTTTGAGTTATTACCATTTTTTCAAGACACGTTTACATTTCCACGACAGGTCAAAATTCATACCACTAAATGTCACCAGTAGTCTCGTATTTCAGTATTATAATTTAAATATTTTACATAACTGATGTCGTTTATTTCAAGAAAATATTAGTCTTGTTTTGTGTATGTATTATTAACATGAACTATTAAGACAATTATATTTGCTTATCAATACAGAGAACCTCAAAGTCTGACGGGACCTCAAGTTAGAAAAAAAAAACATTTGCTTAAGAAATATGGTAAACAATATTATCATATATCCGTGTCGGTGAAAACAAATTTCTCTCAGATTGAAGAATACAAAAATGTCATGTTGGTATTGGACAACCGGCAAACAAAGATTTTATATGGTAAATATCCAAGTACATCTGTACGTAATCAGCTAAATTTGGCATCAAATAAAATATTTAGGAAAAACACTATACTATGTTTTCACTAAAAGCTAAAAGCAATTTGATTTTCATGTATAACAACTATATTGCATTTAATCAAACTTCATATTTACTATAAAATATCAACAGGTATCCGTAAAGTGTTAGGCTAAGATTGTGTATTGAAGGTACATCTTCAATATATCAAAATTAAAACAGTATCTAATGACAAAAAAAAATATCCTGTTGACCTTTCTTCCGGCTTCATTTCAATACCCACACATGTATATGTACCGTTAGTTATAGTTTTCACCACAGCCAGGCATGGTAAATTATTAGATCGTATACAACACACACGCTTGTATACAAAAATATATGATATAACAGTACCGTTAGCATATGGTCAAATGGTCACTTCTAAATTCATGTTAACGCCATACCCTTTGATCTTTAAGGAAGTCTTGACTAACCTTTATCCCTACTTAACGTACGGCAGTAAATGTTTGGGCATTTTTAACAATCAGTCAAAAGATTAAATAGATTTTTAATCTTGCCGATCAGTGATTTTCAGAGATAAATCATTGTTCGGGTCCAAATCGGACACACGCCCGGAAGCAAGCTACTGCTTTTCCTTTACAAAATGTTTGTAAGCAATCAGATTCCGGAATAATAGCCACGTGTTGCGTGAAAAGAACTAGGAGAGCCCCGAGGGGAGGATGTTTCGGTATTTAGCAGAGACCAGATAGAAGAAGGCCATCATTTCGTATGTGGTCTCGGAAACTACCGTACACTAGAATTTCGCTCAAATTTTATGTCACAGTAACAAAATAAGAAATAATGAAATTCCTATCAACATCTAATAGTCCTACAGAAAAAGAAAACCTGAAGTGTCTGGTAAGTTATATTGCTTTTTATTAATTACATATCAGTTTTCTTACTTATGTTTAAAAATCATTAGCATGAAATTGCATTGTTAAATATATCACTCATACGTACTTTCTTCGTAATTTATCATTCAGCATACTACATTTACTTTAAATCATTTTATTGAAAAACATTTTTTTTTTATAAATTGAAAACAAACTTGGATGTTGTCAACTTATTTATTTATCTGTCTATTTATATATCATTAAACAACTGAGCAATGATTTTATTGGCGTTCTTATGATCAATATATACAACTGTACTTAATTAGTCTATGACTCCGTACTGGTCAAATGTCTACGGTATATGTTTCAGTCAAATCCTGTTAAACTTAACAATTCATATTTAAAAGTATCGTTTAAACTATTTTCATACTAATTAAGTGCCCATATAATGACTTTAATGTAAATATATTCAAAACTATGCATTGAGCATTTTGTGAATGCATTAGCTTTAAAGACGATTATGGAATATTACCTGGAAGCTATAGAACTAGCTATAAAACAAACAATAATTATGCATTTAGAAATGAAGGATTCTTTAATTAGCCTCCTACTAAAACTTATAATTATAAAACTGGAACACACTTGATGACTCTATAAGAAACTCTATTTCAATTTCTAGATTTATCTATTAGAATTTGTAAACCTTTATGTTTTATAATAGGGTGTCGTTGGTATGTCTAACGAAACTAATAAAAATACTTCATCATACTAGTTCTTACTTAAAAAATACTAAACGATTCTCTGTTTATAAGTAAAATAAGAAATATGCAAGTTTTTACGATATCAAATTTATTAATTACAAGTGGTAGTATGAGAGTGAGTGAGTATGTGTTATTTCATTATAGTTAATAAATCATTGTTTCCGTTATGTTCCTATCTACATCCCCTAACTCCAATTTATTAATGAAATTAAATCATTGGATATCGGTTCCCTAAAAGAAAAGACGTATACAGGCTTAGCCTGTTGTCTTATCCCTTTATAAATACATGTACGTGTATATTTCTTATGTTATAATTGTAATTATGTTTGTTTGTATTAACAATAACATATTTTAAATTGTACGAACATATTTTGAATTGAAAGAAAATATTTTGAATTGTAAGAAAGTATTGTGAATAGCTATAAAACGTTACTGTTACTGATTTTTGTTAAACGGTTCCTATCTACTCAAACTGTATTTAAGTAACAGTACCACTGTCGGTAAGGAGTTAATTGATATAAGGTTTTACCTAGTTGCCTATTATCACAGATTTATGGCTATACAGTACGTACGAGTGGGGCGTAGCCCATTTGTTACATCACAAAGCGAGCCGCCTCAACATAAAAACAACATTTGAACACCGCAAAGGCTGGTAACGCCCCATAAATTTGCAGTAGGAAGGAAGCTGTGCTTCAACGTATATTTAAGTAGTTCCCTTGGGACATAGTGTGATATGATATCGGCTAAGTACAGAGACAAGTGTCCAATCATTAAGTTTAATCAGATTAGGCATACGTATGATTGTTTTCACTATGGAAAAACATAACGTTTTTAAAAACATTTCTTATTGCATAACATACAAAAAGACAGTGTATACAATATATATACAATTCAAATTTATGATGTCAATATAACAACCTTAAAAGTAAAGAAAATTACGCACAAATATTTACAGAATAGTACTATTTGACAAATCATAAATTCTTCTATGTTTCCGTATTTCTAAAACTAATCAGTTCTTAAAATTGTATAATATTATCTTTAGTAAAGCATTAAGTATTTATATATTTTTTTCTGTCTGAAGACAAATATGAACATTCCAATAAGTAATCAAATGCTTATGCATTAATTTTGATAATTATTATCACAAGTACTTGTAAATACTGTTACGACGATTAGTGCTTTTCCATCTCTAAGCGTCACTTGGTCTAGATTTACAGATAAATTTCTTTTCCGATCGTTTTGAAACATCCACAAATCTTTCATGCAACAGTATTAAATCAAAAATCAAAAAAATCATTACAATAATGTAAGCACTGTGTGATATGTATAAATGTACATGTTAGTGATTACGTTTAATATACTAAAACTTCAATATACTAAAACAATGATATATACCTATATACGTATGGTACTTGTATGCTATCTAGTAGTCAAGTCTTGACATTCAAACTGAATAAAATACAATATTGTTGTACAAATTTGCAGAGGAATCGAAGTTAAAAAATAATATCTATATGGTGATTCGAAGATACTTCAATATCTTAAATGTTCAAGTCGTATGACTTAATTAATATTTTGACATTTGTAAACAATATAAAAAGACAAACTTATAGACACCTATGCATACCATAGGTATTTATATATATCTATATATTTCGTCATTATATACATTTTATAATTATATAATCCTTATCGTTTCAGACCCGAAAGCACATCGCCGAGCGACAAAGACGTGCGCGGATCAACTTTCTCCTGGAGCAGTTAGAAACACTTATCTTGCCACAGGATTCGGAGGTACGTAACGCTATGTACTTACACACGAACACCAATTAGATATCTTTGTACCTTAGATTTCCTTTAAGTTAACGTCCCCGGTGATTTAATGATAACTAGAATATGACGTTCAATTGAATTCTTTTCTCTACGGCGCAATGTGCCGTGGGATACAGTCTTGTACGTCTGTCTGAGTAAAGTCTTGTGTAACTCTTTGTCTTCCGCCTTGTATATCCATATACTTTGAATATAAAACGAGTGTACACCCATTGTATAATGCAATACAAAAGTGCAAAAACAAACACCTTGGCTGTCGGTATTACTAAGTCAGCACATTACAAGTACGATATGTATTCAAAAGTCAAATTTCGGCCAATTCTTCTTACGTTCATCAGTCCGAACAAATAAAACCCCGTAATGTTTCATTACGCTGAGGAGACACAAGCGTTACCGTTTAGAAGCTAGACAATCAGTGTTTCATTTGTGTGTTTTTCCTTTCCAGCCATCTCCTGTAAAACTAGAGAAAGCAGAAGTACTAGAGAAGACTGTTGATTACATACAGAAGCGAAGATCGAGCGACCTGCATGGTAGGTTATTGCTTCATTTGTTACCAATTCTACGGCTTGTTGAAATGCATGAGTGTTGTACGTATAATTCTATGCATCGGCAATGATATTCAGCGAGTTTGTAATTATCAACCATGCTAACATAGGATGTTAATTTTCGAGTAATGGATAGACAGTGTTATGTTTTCAAATTTCCTGATGAAGTGAATCCACTAATCCAAAGTGATTCTAAAAAACCAAGTAACAATACAGATCTACAGTAACAATCTCAACACTAATAACAAATATAAAAGCATGTCTACAGCGACGCTAGAAACAATATTTCACATAATTCTGATATTTATTCCAGTTTACTCACATAGAGAAATTCTAATGACTAATCACGACGCACACTGAATAGATGTCATCCTGGCTTCCAACTTTGTGGACCTAGTTTAATTTGCATCGCAAACATGTAAACATGTATCCCCGAAATTAAAACTACAGAGGGCTACATTTTGCGATAAAATGTGAATACATTTAATTTTATTAAAATCGTTTTGTCAATATATAACACTTGGCACCTACAATATACATTGCACAATGAATTTCGTTCATGCGACATTTCATGTTATATATGATTCCATTATCAGGGTCGAGAGCTGAGTATGAGAAAGGATACAAAGAATGTCTGCAAAAAGTCTACAATTTCATCGACGGTTCAACACTGGCCCCTCTTCAGAAAAACAACATACGAGCTAGCCTGTTGAGCCAACAGGTCTCTAGTGAACAACCAATGGAAATGCCTCTTTCTGAATCTACCAGCCAGCAACGTCATCATCGACTTCCGCGGCAGTATGCCGTCGGAAATCTCTGTGCGCCTGTACAATATATCAAACAAGAAGCTGAAGTAGTGCGTTGCCAGTCCAATACGTTGGATACCGTGTCTCAGTATCAAATGCAGGTGTCTCAAGAACATATTACAATGTCTCCAGTTCACCTTCAAATATCACCTGTTTCATATCCTTTGCCTAACAACCAATTACCTGTGTCACATTTCCAACTTCCGGTATCTGAAAAATATGAAGGTTTGTTGTCTACCACAACCGGAAGACATATGCAGATTATGAATACCGGTGCTACACAGTTCTGCGAGCAGAGCGGTAGCGGAATCACAGACGCTAATGTGTGGAGACCATGGTAGACTGTTAGAAAGATCCAACCTCAAAAACTGTTATATTGTGCTTAAGTGTTGTGTTGTTAACAGTCGAAACTCATTGATCAATCTTCTGTCATCCCAAGATGCATTCTCTGGATTGTACAATGGTTACTATGGAGCTGGCTTGAAAGAGGAATGTTAACTATTGGTTGGACAAATGCGGTTCGACCGTAATTTGCTAAAAAATGTCAAATCATAATCTTTATCTGTTATTATATGTTTTCATATAAATAAAAAGTAGTATTACTGACAATGTATATCTTTTGTTGTTTAATTAAACAATACACTTCAGTCTACGTGACATCGGGTTCTTGCTTGAACCCTTTTCCTGCCTCGGAGAGTACACTTCGGTATTTGAAAAGGAAATGTTAAAATGATTTGAAGCAAACCTCATTCTCAAAGGGAAACCCTAATTTTACGACTTTTTATTTAACAAGCAATACACGACGACTTGAATCATACTGATTTAATCATCGTTTTTTTTATTGTTTCTGAAGTTCCAGTGAAGTAACTAGAAACAAGTTATTTCGCGACTTTAAATTGATTCATTTTGCCGCTTATTTTAGAAAATATCAAGTTTAGTTAGATGAAACAATATCTTATTCATTAGTTGCATGTACAACAAAAATCATACAAAACAACACATGACATCAAAGAATAGGGATTCGGCAGTACGCCCATAGCCTATGTAAGTCATTTCCCTTATTGTCTGCTTTTATAACGACAATACAAGTACACCAAGTAATACCTGGTAGAGTGTATGCATCGTCTATTGCGTCCGTTAAACATCCAATGGTCATTCAGCTTCATCTGTCATGCATATTGCTCTGAAAAAACACTGTAAAAATGTTAAGATGAAATGGTAAAACACAGAATGGATCACATATTTCATTATTGCGCCATTTCCCTCTTTATATTCACACCTGAACGAAAAACAGATACAAATTGTAGGTGATGTGGTGTAGTGATAGGGGCTATGACTAGTGAGGGGCTTTGCGATTGGGTACGTACATTGTATACGTACAGATTGTGAGTTCGAGGCCCGGGAATGGCACAAGTCATACAGTTGTTTTTCTTCGTCATTTGTGTTTCGTTGTCATTTACTCAACTAGTGAAGATCCGAAGGTTTAACATATGAACTTGCTGTTATAAGTATAAATATTATTAACACACAGAGTTCCTTTGAAATTCTCCAGTACAGAATCACGTCCCTTGATAAGAATCTGGACAGGTGAAAGTAAACGGTTATTACTAAATAACCTTTTTCGTTATTTCTTTTATATTTTATACAAGAACTTTGGATGTTTTTGTATATCACACGCATTTATCGGCGACAAATACATATTTTTCCAATGCCTCCGCTAGGAGTCGAACCCAGATATATCTGGCTTACTAGTCCTACCCTCTACAGAATTAGCGAAATTTTCCCTAGCGGCTAGTAAAAAAATCAAACACGATTATATTATTTTATCATAACAAGTGACAGAATAAATTCAAACTACATGTATAAGTTCACGACCGATCTCAGGGACTACCGTCACTGTACCCAAATCGGGACAGTACCAAAAACGGGACACTTGTGGGAAAAACGGCCATGCAATGCAAAGAAGTACATTTATGTATACAGTTTTCATTTGATAATACTTTTCATGACAATTAAACTGAGCTAAGCTTTATTGGCTGCTGATTATCATTACATTTACAATTTAAAGGTAATGGTAATGGCCAAAACAAGACTTTCCTGATGTACATGCCGTGCGACGCTATTCATTTGGATATCATTTTCAAAGGTCTATTTTATCTAAACTGATTCTAATTTGGAGAAACAATTCAACCAGAACCCTCATTGACTCTAAAATATTTCAACTATGCATATTTTCTGCCGATGTCAAATGTTTGCCAAAATACCGGAATGGTCCCTTTCAGGGTAAAGTAACGCCGGTTCAAGGGCCTGTTTTACTCTAGATCTGATGGTATTTCGCGTTCTTTTTATAGAACCACGCGCCCGAAATATCAAATAGTGATAGAAATGAAAAGTGGATAGTATCTTTTTACGAAATATTAACAAGCATTTTTGGAATTGATTATATGGTATAAAGTACATTGATATTTATTTAAAAAGTGTCCCTATTTGGGTACAGTGACGTTATAATATTGTTATTTCTTATATTTATATTCAGATTTCAGTACTGCTATCAGAATAACAAATATTTCTCTACAATTTTCCGAATGTGAGCTTACCTTTTCTATAGAGTAACATCGTTGTTTCCCCTCGCCATGGTGTGTACATGCCTAAGTTGACACCGTATGCAAGGGCTTGTTCCAGATATCACGGTTTCCGTGATAGATGTCGACTGTTGACGGACAAAAATTACAACACAGACTTTACAAAGATGCAGTTTATTAAAGACCATGGGCAACTGTTTATGTCGCCTTTGTGATCTCAGTAGGCAATTTGCTGTATCTATGTTTCAATAATGAAATCATTTGTTTACATGTTCATTATTGTGTATTTTTATTTTGTGGATCACTACTTCAATTTTCTTTTTGTGAGCATGTCTTTTCTTGAATTTGACCGAGATTCAAATGGCAGTGTCGTATTTAAAGATGAAGACGGTTACCCTTCCGGAACACTTAGTCTCGTTGTCATTTTACTTTCTCAAAGGTTAGCATGAAAATCTGTCCTCGTTCATTTGAGGAAGGTGGATAGTTATCAAGAGTTTGCCAGACTGCTGCACTCGTTGGATGGCTCGTTTGCTCATGTCGTACATGTATCTGTACCTGTGTCTAGAGTTTTAATGTTTTTTAGTGTTTTAGTCTTTATCACTAGTTACCTATTTTATTTATCTATCATTTATTTACCTACCTTTTTAGCTTAACTTCTTCTTTGCATGGCGCTTTATATACCTATAACTGACAGCATAGTTTCTAGCCCTCTTTTCTAATCATCATTATAGCTCAATATCTTTTACTTATTAGACCTTGTCGTGCTATTTCAATTTACACTATATTAGTGTATATTATGTCAATTTTTACTCTTCTGCTAAATTAGCATGTATGTACATTACACTTAAAGTGTTTTAAACCTCCAATATATATAGCAACACCTGCGTGATATGCAGGTGTTTCACTATTATCCCTTTACATCTTTTTTAGTATAATACTTTAAATTTAGTGCCTGCGATATCTAATTATATGCTGCTATGTTATTGTATGTTTTACTCGCTATTATGTGCTAGCTTACTGTGATAGTGTATAGATTGATTTGTTGTTTTCTGTTTGCTTTTTATCATGTTTGTCGCAAAAATAGCGCTACAGCGCTAATGTTTCTCTGTTTGATATATGCGACGTTAAATAAAGTTTCTGGTATCTTGTATCTAGTTCATATTTTGCCCAAATCGATCAATTTTATTTTAAGGTTCTGTTAGATGCTTCGGTATTATTTAAAATATTACTCTAAAATATTACACTAGAATATTACACTAGATTATTACACTAGAATATTACAAAAACTGCATTCACTATATGTACGCTAACCTTAGTAAAGCGGCATCACTTTTATCACATTTATCAGAAACACTTGGACCAGCTGGTACCATAATTACAGCTCCATAGGAAATGCAGAAAATAACTTTTTCGCAAGTTATTCCTTTACCACTGTTATATTTTATCTGTTATTTTACCTGTATAATATGGTTTCATTAAAAAGTTAATTCAAGTTAACTTCATTTCAATTCTACCGTTTATACATTTTGAACGCACTTCTTATGAACAATTCCCAACTATTTTAGAATGAATATATTTTGCCGGCGAATCATTCTTAAAAATCCAAAAAGCTTGTACTGGTTGAAATACAATAACACTTGTTGGGTGGGACATTTTTATTTTGAGTGAGCAGCGCTTGAATCTTGCAATGCGATTGAAAATCAAAGCCAGCCCATCATGTAATATCGTGTAGTCATGGTCAGCGGTTTTAAAATGTAATTGATCTTGTTGAAATTCCTCCGTGTTGACCTGCTAATTATAACGGGAATGTTAACTGAGTCACGTATTCATCTCACACCTGATACGAAAGTCTGAAAATTCGGGATTATGTAACTCTCTCCTGTGTTCGAGAAGGATGTTTGAATAGAGGGTTGAATCCAGTAGTTAAGATCAATGATATTTTAAACTTTCATTTTTACCGCAAGCGCACGTGTCCAATTGTAACTCAAAAATTCTCATTTGTCGGTTGAGAAATCGCCGTAGGCAAAATACGATATCTTTATTCCTGGACGGAGGCCCTGATATTGATCTAGCGGCTTCAATACGTTGTCCAGTGGCTGACGGGGGTCAAACAATAACACAATGAGGTGATTATCGACTCAAGCATCTTAAAGGCCACACGCCAACGTCCGGGGAGGAGGGAGTGGGCGGAACGCGCTAGATCGACATGTTTTTAAAAGCGGCTGTATCTTTGAAAATTCTTACGAATTAACCAGACGACCTTGTCAGTTTGAGACAATTGTACAAGCAGGGGGTTTCAGCTGTTTTATGTGTTTTGCTGATATAAAACAACTGAAAAATGCGTGGAATGATTCACGAGGAATATGAACCAGTCCGCTTATTTCCGTAACTTACTAACATAGACAATCTGACATGGTTTAAATGTATAAAAGCGATAGGGAAATATTACGTTTGATATTCATGACAAAAAGCTCTGAAACCATATAAGATAAATTAAAAACAGCATTAAATTATGTCTTTTTCACATTTTATCAATTATACAGTAATTTTAGTTCAAAACAAAATATAAACCATGCAGGTTACAAAATGAAGCATTGCTCTTCACCTCTCGATAAATCAATTATAGATTAATAAAATATTGATTAAGGGAGAATGATGATACAATATACTATATAGAAGGTCTTTTGTAGAAAATTGATTTCGAACTCCTGTCCTTTTTCAGACCACTAAGGCAAAATTGTCATGAGTTTTACGTCATGTACATTTTGCATGATTGTATACACAAACTTTCTATTGAACTCAGTTGAAGTTTCGTGTATACAGCCATTCATGATGGACATTACATAAAAAACCGACAATGACTGCCAAGAGTATTTTCTATGGCGCTGTTTGTTTGATTCACAGCAAGGTACATGTACTGTAACGTACTTTATGTAATGTATCAATACACACTGGACACTATTACACACTTTGTACCGCTTGTTAAATCCAATTAATAGTCTGAACCTTCAACGCAGCATGTATAAATATAACCATTGATTTCGATGCATTCATATGAGATGACTAGGCTATTACTATGCATGGAATATTGTTTGTTTCTTGATCGGGCATAAAGATAAGATAACGTATCGGCAGCGATAGTTGATGTGAGAAGAGGATGATTGAATAGCTCAGGTGTCTTGCCGTAATTTATTATTTCTTTTATTTCCTCCAAAAACGACGTGGAATTTGTCCTACCAACTCGTACATATTGTATGTGTTTGTGTACATACGCTTCACTGGTCTTTTACCATAGTAGACACCGAAACGTCACATATAAACACTTCCCTGGAACACGAACCGTTTTGTAATTGTCATAAGAAGCTTTCGGATAATATACTGACATTATAACTTATTTATCTTTCCAGTGTTTCCAGTCACTTAAATTCGGGGTTCTTGCAGGTTAAATCCTTGTCCGTACTTTACCTCTGTAAGGTGCCTTATAAGCTTAACACCCTTAACCGGAAGTTGGCTGTGTTATCCCGTGCAACAGATCTAGACAGTTTGTTCATATAGATTAATGCTCAGTAATGTTGAGGGGGAGAAATTAACATCTTCCACTTTTGAGGTAAGAGAAGAAAATCTCATTCGAAAGGTTAATTAATATCCTTAAAAAATCTAGCCTGAGGCAAACGTGAAAAATGGTACTATTTATAAATTAATGAAGAAATTGAATTTAAATTAAATTCATCAAAGGAAGTGGATTTGAAACAGTAAATATATAGTGCCCCGGGAGGCGCGTGTTTGTCGGGAAATAGTACATAATAAATGGCAAACTATAAACGGCATTGACACTTGAAGTGTCATTGTAATTTGTTCAGGTAGAATATGATTACAATGTTCTGCATATATAATTTAAGAAGAGATTACATAGAATTGTCAGTGTCAGTAGCTCACGAAATGTGCTGATACTTCTGAACCGACCTGTTTGTTTCCAACCATTCACTGTGTAATATATACATTACAGTGGCGGATCCAGAGACCTACCTGGGGGGGTTAAGCGTAAATTTGTATAGCAACTATCATGAAGAGCCATGATGTCTTCCCACTTCTGTCAGGAAGGGTGATTCACGATTTGTTGTGTACAGGGTTTTGTGTCCTTGCACCAGTTAAGGTCATAACTTTGAGACGGGTACCTAGAGTGACACAAAGCAGATAGAGCCCTAAAACAGAGCGATACTGAGCTTAAAGGGGAGTAACTCTAACTATTGGAACGATTTTTTTCATATTGCATGTTTATTATTGACAGAACAGTGTGTTCTCTCAATATTAAAGTCTTTCAAAGCAATCCAGGCATTAATTCAGGCGGGTTTTTTATCAATGAGTCACATGTGTACATTTTTCTGTACTTCAGGAAACCGGCTACCTATTTCACTACTGTGAAGTTTTTCAAGAACGATAACTGCAATTACTATGCGTATTAATTTATTATAAAATGTCAATCTTTATATCGTGTATAGAGAATTAATTTTACACAATTTCAGCATTTATTAAACTCATATACATTAATGCAATACTAATATATGTCAGTATCATTTTTTATTGACATTATTTTTGTATTTTTTTTTTTTCAAAATTCACTCCTTTTTACATAAATTTCCATTTAAAATCACTTAAATTCTGATAACATATATTTTTTTTTGTAGCAGAACTTTTCTTTACTTTAAAGCAATATAACTACAAATTTGAGGAAATTCTACTGAGAAATGGTGACACAATCCTATTACCTTAAGTAAAAACTCAATTTTATTTTTTTGTGTTTTGTGTTTTTATTTGTCATTTCTGAAGTACAAATACAATGAATGATCAATATACAACTTACATAAATGAAACACAACGTAATACAATTGAACATTGATTCTATAAAACTAGAAATAGCTAACGCCGTGACATGTTTATATACATTATTTTTGTATAAAGTAAAACTTTGACATTTAGAAATAGTGCTTCAGTACTTTTCCATGTCTCATAAAAGACATCAAAATAAAAATAAATCGTTGCCGGAAATATATCTAGTGGTCCAATTACGTCAAATGTACATCAATGACGCTTTTAATGTAAATATCGAAGTATGATTAAAAAAAAGTAACTAAACGATACACAATACACGGTATCTACATCTCATCGGTACAACGGCCTACACACACAGATAGATGTCGTGTATGTAATTCTTTATAACGATATCTAAGGGACTAGACAACTAACAATCAAAGTTTAACATACCATAGCGTAAGTAAACTTTGTATTTGTTTTGTATTACACTATGTACCACGTTCTTATAGAGGACAACTTAATTTATACATAATCCAGTACTGTGTTGATTTTCTACATTTATATACAAACAAATTACTAACATATATTTCTATTATAAAGCTTAAACATTTACAAAAAAAATCATGATTTCATGTTATAAAGCACTAAGAATAACTGCGAAGAATAAACCTATGGCTGTTCCAACAAATGAACTGTAAACGGTTCCAGCTGAGTTTTCTCCTTGGCCGGCTTGCAATTGACGTAACTTTCGCTCAAAGTTCGAGGTCTTACATACGCTTCCTAGCTGTTGGTTGAGTGAAGCGTCCTTTTGACAACGAGCTGGAAGTAATGTACATTCATGTTCGTTCTTGAGTCCGACGCTATCGGCTGGGCATTTGTCCTTCCATCCCTTCATGTCACACTGAAGATGTTCTACTCGTACTCTGTAGAACACAATACAGAACATTTTGTTAGAATTATTGAATTAACAGTAAAAGAAACAGCCAATCATATGATTGCTATAAAACGGGCATACCTCCCGTTGTACTATTTGCACGAAACACGTTTTAAATAAATGCCAAGGCTCATACTGATGTTATGAGATTGTAGTTGCTGAAGTCAATCGCGACAATAGCCAAACCATGCTCGAAACTCTAATGGTTACACTCACATACGTTCCATGCCTCTCCGGATGATGTCATAACACAATCGTAGACGTGGGGTTACATATACTTGTCCTTTGAAAATTACAGAGGAGCCTGACTTTAAGGCTTGTTAATTGTACCGTTACGCTTCCCGTGATTATTTTAATGTACATTAAATGATCAAACTGGTCTACCTGTATCAGCGACAACGTGGCAGTTACAGAGCTTCCGGTTTTGTTATGACATGAGCGTAACCATCATGGAATTTCGAGGATGTAGCTAAATGTTGGTAGCAAGAAACCATACAGAAACATAACTGTAATTCATTACAATATGGTATGACGAAATTACTCATCCTACTTACTTGCAGTATTCTTTGAAATATTTGTCTTTGTCGACAGCATTTTCAATCTCCTGGGCTGTTAGCTCGATCATCTTGGACATCATACTATCGAAACAGCCAATGACGGACGGCGGGGGTTCTTGGAAGCAGGATAGCCCGTTCACGTAAACTACGGTCAAGAAATGGGACATATAGGTACACATCTTGTATGGTCAATTGAAGAAAATTTGTTTTAAAGCAGAACGTTTACTTTCCTTGTTCTACGATACATAACTATATATTCTACCACGATATCAAACTCATTCCTATCGTTGGGTTTCAGTTATAGTGAAACATTATTGATTTAAACTGGGAACTATTTGAATTACCACTTACGTCCAAGATGCAGAGTTTGTCCCATGCAAAGTCGACTTCGATGATTTGTTTATTTATTTAAAGTATAATCATAATTGCAAATATGACGACTGCTGTCAAAAGATACACTAATGACAAAATGCAGTAAGTCGCCTCTTGCGATAGAGTTCCTGAAACGTCGCTTGCTGAAATAGTTCAGCAACTAGGCAAACACAGTTGATCAAGTTCAGATGTGATACTTACCATCAATATCTTGGCACAGGACCTCGATGCTCTTCTCCATTGAGTCGTGGTCGTAGCCGGTCAGTAACATGTACTCCCGAGCCCCCGGGCATGCGTCAATTACACCCCTCATACACTCGTACAGCTCAAGGCGGGACCTGTAGATAGAATTTATATACATGTTTAACGTTTGAAAATAGGCTGAAAAACATAAAAAAAAAAAAAAATAAGACAGATCTTGAAGAAAATAAGTTGTTATAACCCTTGTGTGGAGTCATAATGAACTGAGCTCCTTGTATAAATGAAACATTTATATAAACATATTTATTACGCTCCATCACAGATTCATACATATAACTACGAAGGCATGTTCGGCTATGCATTTATTTTACGTCACTTTGGACTAATAGAAAATGTTGGCACAGCTGTTCGTGTAATCATACACATTGCACGTGTAAATAAGTATGTATGTAAATAGTATGAATTGTCCATTTTGAATCGAACTCCGGTCTCCTGATAAAGATGTACAAAAGCAAAAACGCTTTTTGTCAGGAGTATTTGCTACTAAAAAGGTATTGACGTTCATACTCACGCGCAGAATTTCACGGCAGATGGTTTGTCTCGTCCAATCAGCGCTCCTTTAACTGCAGAGGAGTTGCTGACAAACATTGTTTTCTCAAAACCGACTTTGTTGTGACAATCCTGCATGTCTGGTTTTAGGGTTTTGATACATTCGCTTGCTGGCGACAGATTACCTGATTAAGTAATATAATAAAAATTAGTTTAAAAAATCCAGTCTTAAAAAGAAGATGTACATAACTTAAAATCACTCCCGGCCAATATACTTGTGTCTATAGATAGGAACGGACATATAACGTTTGATTAATTCGAGCTTTATATGCAACAGAAATGTCCCTGATTCATCAGTGATACATTTGGCTGGGTGTACTCTTCTACGTAAACCAACACTTGAAACAAAACAATACAAGAATAATAAAAACAATCCGAAAGAAATCCGAGGAACGGTGTTCAAACGTATTTTGATAGGTATTTCCACGTAATACGTCGATTAATGACCGTTAAACTCACAAATAAAACGACTTTTATGTTTATAACGTTTGAGCGTGGGTTATCTGCCCCTAATAAACTCTTAAAAAAACCTTGTATATGGAATGTATAGTAATACAAGCTTGTATTATTCTGCGCGTATGGCGTACCTGCTCCACAAACAGACTGTAGTGCGTTGATACGGTTCACTATTTGTCCTTCCGCGAAGTTGAACTCTCTTTTGTCGACACACGCTCCTTTGTCCCTCATGGTCAAGGTCGGCGGAATGATACACTGTATAAGATCGGTTCTAACCCTGAATAAGAAAGACAAACTATTTTGTAATATTTTCTTGATACATCATAATAGAGGGGACAAGCAAAAGAAATCAATGACGTTTTGACGCTTATAAGTACACTACGTAGCGACTGTTGGAAACAGCACGATTCGATGTAAAATTAAGTAAATAAAAAGATGTTTTTAAACTAACGCTAACATCAATAGCTAAACGTCTCATCAATGTATGACTTATACTTACGCGCAAAGAGCGTTCCGAAGTTCTCCTAAGTTGGCATTCGGGGGCAACTGGACCATCGTTCCATTGGTGATGATGGCGTCGGCGAGCTGTATCTGGATTCCCTGTTTCATAAAGCAGTTCACGCTAATCTGCTGTACTTGTTGTATACACTGTCCTGGTTGAGGGACACCATTACCAGAACTTGTGGCTGGTTGACCGTTTGGATCTGTTGTTTGACCGGGTTGAATTTGCCCTGGCTGGAATTGTTGACCAGGCTGAGCCTGTCCCGGCACCTGTTGACCAGGCTGAGCCTGTCCCGGCACTTGTTGACCAGGTTGAGCCTGTCCCGGCTGTTGACCGGATTGAGTCTGTGTTCCTGGTTGAACTTGTCCTGGTTGAAATTGTTGCCCCGGTTGAGCTTGTCCCGGCTGAAATTGTTGCCCAGGTTGAACTTGCCCGGGCTGAAATTGTTGCCCTTGTTGAGCTTGCCCCGGCTGAAATTGTTGCCCTGGTTGAGCTTGTCCGGGCTGAAATTGTTGCCCTGGTTGAACTTGCCCGGGCTGAAATTGTTGCCCTGGTTGAACTTGTCCTGGCTGAAATTGCTGCCCTGGTTGAAATTGTTGTCCAGGTCGTAACTGTTGACCTGGTTGAAATTGTTGCCCAGCTGGGAACTGCTGACCTTGTTGAGCTGAACCTAACCCAAGTAAGGTGAACCCTAAAATAAAGCAATCAATGTTATTGGAATTTAAGTTTTCCTATACCGTGTTTTGCAGTTAGTATGTAGTCTATCTATGTTACATGTACAAGCGTATCACAAATTAAAAGTCATTTCAGAGAAGCACCACTTTTCTCCATGTAAGTACATTAGTGACTGTTGTTTTTATTGTAACATTAAAAAATATGATCATTAAGTAATTTGCTACTATTTGAATTTTGCCATAACACTTCAACATTGAAGGCAAACATACATAGGTAATATTGTGTATTTACGTTAGTAATTGAAAATAAAAAATGAAACAATATGTAATTGTTGATCAAATATGTAAAGTATATACGTAGACGTAGATTTATTGTAAAAACATATATAAATCAGTAAATAAATAAATAAATATAAGAATAGCAATGAAAAAAATACATATTTGGAAGTCGAATGGTACTTGACCCCGAAATGGTACCTTACTGCAATCTTTTGAAGACATTTCCATGATGAAATTTATTATTTTTTTAAAATAATATCCAAAGTATTTCGTTACAGTATTAAACTTTTTGTCATACTTTGTGTAAACTACGTGATTTGTACTAGTGTCAAGATATTGACAATTACGAAAATTATACTCCAGTATACAATGTAAAACGACCAAAAACGGGAAAAATAGTTGTATGTAATATGGTGAAAACTAAGATTATTTTCTTTAAATTATTTGTAGTTATGATTAATTCTGAACTAAAATATATAAAATAAAACAGAAAATATCATAATCCGATTGAGAGTGAAAAGGGTATCAAGTATCAACTTAATTCTTTGCATGAAAGTTTGACTTTGGGAGAAATGCTTACGCATAATGAGTGGCTGATCGACACTCAATTATGAACTTTATAGGAAACATTATTGAAGTACAGCGTACATTTTGTACATGTAATTTGTTAATTCTGACCACCCCTACACTATAAACACATCGTGCCATTAACACACATAATTCGGTTGATAGGAAATAGCAAACACTGGTCCGCTCTACCTAAAATTATCCTAACTATATTTTTACCGTCTTTTCCCTTAAATATTACCAAAAAAAATGATAGATAAAAATACGTGTAGCTTGGCTACTGGTGGAATTATCCAGCTAAGCTAAATAGGAGAACTCGTGAATCCTTACATAAAAACAAATGTGAAATATACCAACCTAAAATTAACGTAATCATCTTGGTGAACCTTGTCTTTTCCTGATCTTCTGTAGAAGTAATCCTGTATCTGTGTTATTGGTTGAGCTATTTGCTCCGAACTGACCACAGTGATCGTTTGAGTGAAGTACTAGGGAGCGTCGACTATATATGGACTCATCAACGTTTGACACTTGTAGGTAGAAATACATTTTGTATGACGAAAATGTGAGGTAAATCGCGAGAAAAAAAAAAAGAACTCCATCATACATATCTGTTAGGTGAGCTGTCATTCAATGTTACATATCCAGTCATATTTTTGACAGGTGAGGGGTAGAGTTGTACCTTGGTTACTATCGGGTCAAGCAGATGACCACGGGTCAACATGATTAATCACGAGTCTGACCTGTGCCACAAAATGACCAGTACACGTCCATAATGGAATTCGGGATATGTTCTTTTTTGACACGATGACGATTCATGACGATAAAAGTTTATTCTGGGGTGTAAGATTTCACTAGAATACACAGAGTTGTCGTTCTTGGCACATGGCTGTCTTGCCCAAAGGCGACTTTCGGTCGATGATCCATAACAAACTTTAACCACTATTTCGTTGGCACGCATGCGTAATCGTGCCAGATACAAATCCAGGTGAGTCAATCTTCTTCTGAAATACTTCGCAATATACGCTTTTGATTTAACGTATGGTTATAAAAAAACAACAATATGTATTCAGTAACTTCTAATAAAACAGGAGATTTATGACGATTGTTAAATGTACAATGTAGGTATCCTGTGTAGATACATTCCCAAAATGACACTTCATATTAGCGTATATGTCGGGGATTCACACAATTTTCTCATTTCAAATATATTTTCAATATTAAATAATCAATCGGATTGGGCAACAGGCATAGCCAATATACAAGTAAGTCCTCTCCCTTAATTAACACTAAGTTGTATTAATCAATATTATATATAATATATTTAATATGAAAAAATAAGACATTCTTTTAATTGTGTTTTTTAATTTTTAATTTTTTTGTTTTCCGCTTTTGACAAATAAATCAAGCTATAAAAGTGTAAATGATATAAAAGGTCCGAAGATGTTATCCCCGCCTTGAAAACTAGACTTGTATCTATAAAGCAAGACTCTGTTTTCTTAATTCTATTTTACAACAACTATGAAACAAGACATTTCACTTAAATGAATCATTCTTGTTTGCCCGGAGTACACACATCTAATTTTGCATATATTTGAAATTTGCTAGCGGACAAACAAAACAGTTTCTATTTAACCCCTAACATGTCATGTTAACGGTCAGAATGTTCTGCTGAACTTACCGCGAATGTAACTTGAAACAGTGTTTGTCAAATGCTGATTTCATGTGTTGACGAGAGATGTCGAGATTGGTAGATTTGTTTGATTGAAATAAACATACGTTAAAAAATCAAGACGTCAATATCAGTGTTGATTGTTTATCGTCTGTCGACCAAATATCGACTTAAAATTAAAAAAAGCCTTCCCAAATATATCAAGGTTTAATAGACAAAATAGGATAACCGCTCTTAGGGTAAGAAATGATAAAAACGGGAAGCTTGTTGTGAAATGAAGACATATAAAAATGTAGGTATCACGTGGCAAATGTATGCACGCGCAAAACAATATCCAAATTTAAGTGTTTTTTTTTTTTTATCTAGGTCACCTTAGTTTGCAAAGGCTTATAGACACCGAGGTAGACACGGAACAGACTTCTATTACATTTTACTTGGTGGACTAGAAATAATCAACATATGTTTGTACAATGTTTATTTTGGCGGAAAATAAAACTCGGGATTCGAAAATGTTGGAAATATAACCAATTCAGGCCGCATGCGGCATTCGTTAATAATTATTCAAACATTGTTTACCCTCGTTATATATTCCACCATAATACATACATTGAACAAACACATTCGTTGATTATTTCTTATTTTATACCTATTTCGCTTCTACCAAAAAAAAGCAATTGGGTGGTCGGGTGGTGCAGTGGATAGCGTTTATCTTTCACAAACGCTGCCGGGGTTCTATTCCCAAATCGGACGTGAAAGGTATGGAGTAGTCTGCCTGACCATGTGAGATTTCTACTGGTACTACGGTTTCCTCCCACGGCTCGCCTGCATTGAATTTTTGGAGGGGGAGGGGGGGATTTTTGGAAGAGCGTTGGTCTGTTGGAAAATAAGACATGCACGCGCAAACGTAGTAGAATAACTCTTTTATGAATTTTGGTTAGGCGAAACGTTTGCATTAAAATCTCGCATTACAAATAAGAAAAAAAGATACTTAGAGCATCACAAACTCGCATACAAAGATCGTTAAAAGGCAGAAATGCATTATAGATCACAAAAAAATAAATCGTTTGCTTTTGAGGCCGCCCGGATGTGGAACAATCTCCCAAATGACTTCAGAAAAATTGAAAACTTCAAAGAATTCAGGAGGCTGGTCCATTCCTGGGATGGCCCCATCTGCCTTTGCAATATATGCAAAGAGTGATACTTCATACTGTGCCCTGGTTACCTCTGCCTCCTAACATTTTGGTTTGTGTGATACTTTTATTGTCTTATCGCATTTCTGATATGTTTTAATTCTATTCTATATTTTTGCTGCATCTTATTTGTATTTGAATTCCATATTTTCTAAAATATTAATTTTTACAAAACTTGATAAATTTTGTTAATTGATTTCGGTATCATTTTTAATTCACACTATAATAGTGTATATTCTGTCAATTTTCATTCTTTGCTATATTAGCATTGTATGTATATTCCACTTCATAGTGTTTTAATCATAACATAAGTCCTAAGTAATTCTTGTGTGATATACAAGTATTCATTCACTATTAACTATGTCTTTTATTTACCTATTCTGAATACTACTTATCTGTGATCACATTTAATGCTTTTCATATATTAACACCATTTATATATATATATCCCGGGGTCCTTTGTAGGTAGGGGACTCCCAATCACTTAGAAACCTGGGATATGCATACTTTCTTTTTCTGTGATGATTATTACTGTTTTATTATTAACATATGTGTCTATCTTCCTTTACTTGTAATATGATCTGTTATTGTTATTTTTACATATGTTTGTCGCAATAATAGCTCTCAAGATGTTCCTTGTTTACCTGTATGCGACGTTAAATAAAGTTTCGTGTATCTTGTAAACAACGGTCGGTACGCGATACAGTACGAAAACATCAAAGGAAATGGACCCGTATACGTTGTAATCTTGCGTGAGAAAGTGCATCACTCTCATAATGATAAAATACCGTTTATACAATGTTTTTTTTTAGTATAAGGCAGGTATTTAATGAAACATATCTGAGCTATGGGCTCATCAAACTACATGTCTTTATTTGTTGTATCAACTTTGTATAACACACTGGGACCTGTCAATACAAGATGTACCATACATCATGTTCTACCGACACTAATCTAGTTGCACCCTGAAATCAGAACTGATGACAATCTAAGTTATTTTCAAATACTATTTTATCCAATCAACAAGCCCGTGTCGTGATGGATACACCAATGACATCAACTGTTGCATAAAAACTGACGTATGTGAAGCCATGGCTGCTTTCAACACGGAAGTAAAATGACTCTCGTGAATATCACACTTATATATATATGCAGTATGTAATGGGTAGCCATCCATCACATTCGAATGTTTAATTGACAGGTTTGCCACGCCCACTTCATCCTTAGGCGTAAAATAGTTGATTTACCGTGGGATTTCCACGACTGCTTGCGTTAGTGAAGATACGTCAAACCTTATATTGACGTACTTAGTAATAGCTACCTATGTTTTGTTGTTAGATTAAGTCACGATGTCAAGTGCCAGAGCCAGTCAGAAGAGGGACACAGTTTGTTCCAAAGGAATGCCTGCTATACAGTGGGCTGGGAGATATTGCCGTCAAACCCAAGAAAGACGTTGTCAATCAGGATTATTTCACCTCAACACATTTAATTTGGCCTTTATTGTGTATTTTACCAAATATGCGGCCATGCAGTTTACAACCATATATTTATATCGCCGTTTGGCTTTCTTAAAAACCTCTTATAATAAGAGAAAGAAGGTATTCCTTAAGTTTAGTCTGAGTTTTGTTTGTTTAAAGAGACAAGTCACAGGTTTTGGTAGAGGAAACATTTGTAAGGAGACTATGTACACGACATTACAAGCAAGATCGGTATTTAATTGTGGCTTGCTTAATTCTTTTTTTTGTAATAGTAACTCACATCTGTCACCAAAACGTTCCCGTGGTTTCCTAACAGACGATAATTTCAACTATATTCTGACTTGTACATTTGTATCTAGAAACGTATTCTTGTCAAATCTAAATCATAAATATAATATTGTAAATTAAATTAATATGCTTCTATAGGGAAGTGATTAATAACACTGAAATATGGAAATATTTGTTGCTTTTCAGAATTACGTTGAAAAATAAAAGCAGATTTGTGTAATTAATATACAATGTACAACATAAATTTGAATTGTGTATCTAATTATAAATTTATCATGTATTACACATGAACGATGTATTTCGTCATAGTTTTATAGCTATATTAGTTTTGATTGTTTAAAAGCATCGTTGTTGCACATTTTACATATCATCCTCTGTTCTACGCGAGTGTATATGGCCAAACTATATTTCTGCAATTCAAACCAGAGGAAAAGGATAATCATGAGCGTTATGCTCTTATACCGAGCCTGATACATTATTAATAAATGTACAAGTAAAGTGAATGAAACATTCTGAAGACTTATTATGTAAATCAGTAGGATTATAGCTAAAATACATTTTTTTTTATCTCGGGGTAAAGTGGTCCATTATACACGGGTTGTCTCCCCTTCTCCAGTCTCAATAATGTTAATGTAATTCAATCACAGACATGTCTGATAGGGCATGTGTCATTTTATCAACGTTTATATAATAAAAATGTCCCAAGAATGTTTCACAATTTAGGAAAGGAAAACAGGAATTTATAATTGTTTATTTTTTTGGCACCATCCTTTTTCTTCGTTTCAAAACTATCAATGTAATGTTTCCGCGACTCGATTAGAAGTGTGGTACTTTGCGGA